CCTCGCTTTACATAGTAAACATGACATAAAAGTTCATGTGTTCCACACATCCCTGACAACACTGGGTATTTTAAGTTTTTAAATTTTAGCTATTTTGGTGGTTCTCTAGTGTTATGATTTTGCATTTTCATGGCTAAGATTGAGCACTTTTCATAGGTGCTTATTGGTCATTTGGAAACCCTCTTTTGAGGGATGGCTACAACATTTCTTTTTGTTCATTTTTCTGCGGGGTTGTCTGTCTTTCCACTGTGATTTGAAGACTTCTTTATTCTGAATAGGAATGCTTTGTCAGATTGTTTTGCAGATATGTTTTTCTCATATTGAGAAGTAACAAGAGAAAAATAAGCGGGTTTTGATGTAATAGTGCTCATAAGTTTATTATAAAGTTAAAATTTACATTTAATATAAATGGTAACGTCCAATTTATTATCAATCTTTTCCTTTATGATTCATTTTTTTGATCTTGTTTGAAAAAGCCTATACCAAAGGATAAGTATGATATAAAGGTAAAGTTCCCTTTTTTTCCCCATTGGGATATTCAATTGACCATTCAAAAAACCCCTCTTTCTCACGGCACTGCATGCTGCTCGTCGTAAGTAACTATACACCTGTGGATCTGTTTTTAGACTTCATTGTACTGGTCATTTATTTATTCTTGGACCATAGCCTTGTATTTCTTTGTAATAATAATAACAGAAGAAATGATATTTAAAATTGTGATAACCATAATAAAAACAAACTAAATTTTAAAGTTCATGGATTGCCTTGCAGTAGGTAGTTTGTCTACTACTACATCTAACTCACACAGCAATGTGATTTTTTTTTTTTTTTTTTTAGAAGTTTTGCTATGTCCAAGGTGGCCTCAATCTCATGCTCCTCCTGCCTCAGCCTCCTGAGTAACTGGGACTACAGGTGTGCACCACTATATGTTGAGAGCCACAGCCAAAGGGGCCCCAGCAAACTTCCACCTGCCAGCTGACGATTGGCTTACAGAGGTCCCAGCAAACTTCTAGCTGCCAACTGATTGGCTCCTCTGGGGTGATGCTCATTGGGTTGTTTCCCCGCCCTTTCAGACCAGGAGCTGCTCATTGGGGGACTTTTTTTGGCTCCGCCCACGCGACCCAGCCAATGGGCCTCAAGAGCAGGAGGAGTGGGGGAGGTTGAGAGGCTGGTGGGAAGCCGGGTGGTGGCAGTTGGGCTCTGAAGGTTTTCCTGAAGAGCTGTGTGGTTTGGCGTGTGTTCTAAAATAAAGTTCGTTTCTTTTGACAAGTGGCTCCTGAATTGTGCCCAGCCAGACTGCGGCAACTATACCTAGCTCAAGACAGTGTCTTAATGTGGTTCTAGTGGGATGAATCTGGGTGTCTTTCAAAGTTAAATATGAATAGGATTTACTACACCTATAAAGCTAATACTTCTATAGTATTTACTATGTACTAGCCACTCTTCTATGAAAAGTACACACACATTAACTCATTTAATGCTTTAAGTAACTCTATGATAGGTACTTTTTAATTCCTTTTAAAGATGAGAAAATTAAATCATGACTTGCCTAAATCATCCAACTAGTAAGTGGTACAGCCAAGTCTGGAACACAGGTGTTAACTCCAGAATCTGTGCTCTTAACCTCTACTCCTGGTGCCTCACCTAGGCAATGTATTTTCCTGCAAACCACAACATTCAGCCAGACAACAGGGAAAGGGAGCACCAGTCTCCTACCTGATGAACCATTAATTATTCCAGAGCAATTAGAGTAGAGAAGATTCCCTCTTGCCTATCTGTTCATTCACTCACTGGTATCTATATGTGTCAGACAATTCCAGGACACCCAAGGAAATAAAAATCTGTGGATGCTCAAATCCTTTATTTAAATGGCATAGTACTTCATATAACCTACACATATCTTCACACATACATTAAATCATCTCTAGATTACTTATGATACCCAATGTACTGCAAATGCTATGTAAATAGTTGTTATAATGTATTGTTTCGGGAATAATGACAACGAAAGGTCTGTGTATGTTCAGCACAGATGAGATTTTTTTTCAAGTATTTCTAATGTGCATTTGGTTGAAGCCATCTATGTGGAACCTACAAATACAGAGGACCAACTGCACTCATCTGAAGATAGGCTAGCATACTTAGCTTGGTTGAACTCTCTTCATACATGTGATAATGTACCTTAGTAATGATGTGACTCCTGTTTCTCTTTCCAATCTCATTTTCTTCCCTAACTCCCAGGGGTACTATTTTGTGTTCTTTCATGTAATGATCAGTCAGGTGTGGCTATAACGGGGGAGAACACAGGTAAACAATATATTCACAAATCATACTCACAGATTCTAGAAATAGGAACACAGCACCCAGGGCAGAGCCACATGGGAAAGCACCAGTCAGGAGACACAAGGGGCAGGAACCAGGGAAGCTTAGGCCTTTATTAGAAATTTAAGGAAAAGGCAGGGAAAAGGCGAAGGGTGGGGTGGTCAAAAGTTTAGGACTGGCTAGTTTTAATAATTTCAGCAGCTCTAAACCAGGGGTAGTTCCTGGTTGCTTGTTTCCTGGCCCTGGGATGATTGAGGCAGAGAAATATATTTTTCCTGGAGTGTGGGCCAAGACTGATTCGTCTGTATATCAAAAGCAAATACAAAAGCCTTTGCTAACTTCTAAGAACTGGCTAGCCCCAGAAGAGGCAGTCTCTCCTAAGGCAGAAAGTTTTTTAAAGATATCAAAACATGCCTGGTGTGGTGGCATGCCTGTAATCCCAGTGACTCAGAACTCTGAGGCAGGAGGATCACAAGTTCTAGGCTAGCCTCAGCAACTTAGGCCTTAAGCAAATTAGTGAGAGCCCCTCTCTCATTATAAAAATAAAAAAGGGCTGGAAATAAGCTACATCCCCTGGATTCAACCCCTACTATTTTTTTAAAAAAAGTCAAAACATCACAATGTATAGAAAATTATAAAATGCAAACAATATGTGTACTCTATATTCAGACTACCTTATAGTATTCTAAACTGCCATGTGTTTCCTGATCTCAGAGCTCACACTATTTCTTGCTTTGGATGCACTGGTTTTTTGTTTTATCTTTAAATCTTAAATACCACTTCTCTCAGGCCAAAGCCCTGATGACCCAGATGCACCGTTAAGAGCTTTCTTCATTATCACATCCTCATGATTGCAGCCCTTATCACTGTAATTACTGGTTAAAATTCCTGTTTCCTCTGCTAATTTTAAGACACTTCCAAGGAGCTGGGAAGAGATAAGAAACATTGTTTGAATGAAGGAATGAATAAATAAAAGAAAACCTCTCTTCCAGAAACAATATTCCACTCTTCCCCCCTTTTTTTCCCACCATGTCTCCAATATGGGGTGATGATAGCGTCTTCCTTGCCACCCTTCCTTCACCTTTATGGCTGTCACATCACCAGGCCCTCTTCCTAGCGAGACCGGAGTGGCTGAAGAAGGAGGATGGCTCAGCATTTGCCTGCATTGATCTATTACTGAGATGAGTAATCTGAATTTTAATATTATGAAATTAATTTGCTAGGAAGAAAGAAAATATGTTTCAAGGCAGATATTTTAGGCTAATAATTATAAGAATTCCATAATTGTGCTCATAGTCTATTCTCTGTTTTTGTTATTTAGTACAGAGGATTGAACTCAGGGGTGCTTTACCCCTGAGCCACATTCCCATCCCTTTCATTTTTTATTTTTTATTTTGAGAGAGTCTTGCTAAGTTGCTTAGGGCCTTGTCGAGTTGCTGAGGTTGGCTTTAAACTTGCAATCCTCCTGCTTCAGACTCCCAAGCCACTGGGATAATAGGTGTGCACCCAGTTCATTAATACATTTATTTTTTGCAGTGCTGTGGACAGAACGCAGTGCCTTCTGCATGCAAGGTAAGCACTCTACTACTGAGCTACATCTCCAGTCTCATATTGTAGATATATTTTAATATACTAATCCTTAAAACACCCTAGTGGTAAGCAAAGGGTATTATTTCCATTGTAGAGATGCAGAATGAAGTTAATAATGCCAATAATGCCAAATAAATTTGTTCATAGTGCCAAAGCTCCTGATAGGGGCAAAACCCTAATTTGAATTCAGGGCTTCTGTTAATAAATCTGAAGTTTTTCCATTACGCCATATTGGTCAGTGTCCTACTGACATATTTATTAACCCTCAGCTTATATCAATCAGTACTTTTAGCCAAGATATATGCTTCATGCTTTCAAACACTGAGTTAACGATCATTATGAATGCTCCTCTCCTCCATGAGACTAACTAGGCCTTCTCAAAAGGAAGTTGTATGGACAGCAATGACTGCAAGCACATACATCTCTCACAGCAGAGGCACTTATTTTGAGTGCCTATGTATTTTAAGGAGAATACAAAATATCCTTTAAATAACCTCTCTATGGTTTGTTTCATTATGAAACAATGAAGAGATGTAGTAAATGTTTCTAGGTGCTATAAAAAGAGACAAAGGTAATTGACCTACTGGAAAAATAATGTCTATTGTGCAAAACTGTGGCAATGTGAACAAAGAACTCAACAGTGCATGAAAAGCTAAACAAATTGTCAGGTATCCAACCAAAATAAAAATATTGTACAAAACTAATTTAGAATGATTTTAAAATGTTTTCTGTTTTAATTTATTAGCAAGGGAGTCACCCAATCTGGTATTTTGAAATTTACTATTTAAAAACATTCATATTAATAATAACATTTCATATGTGGAATGAAGGCTGAATTTCTTTCACATCCTTCTGAGTGGAAATTTATGCTGGTACATTTATTTATCTCTGAAGCTTTTATAAAGACATTCCTGTACTGTTAGACTTGAATTTCAAAGACTCAATTTACTAGCTCTCCTTCTTTTTCTCAGTGATCCTTGAGATTCAGGGAAAAGTGAAAGATTCACCTTTGGCAGTGGCTGGGAATCCTGCCCCAATAGTGCTATATTCCTGAATGCTAATTCACAGAACATAAATTAATCCAACAGTAACACAAAATGTTTTATTACATATTTCAATTCAGAAACATTAATAATATTTACATAGAATTATATTTACATATTTACATAGCATCATAGTTAGCAGTAAAAAATGTTGGTTTAGGGGTTAATGACTATTATACTTGACCATGAAGACCTTTCAAGTACATGGGTATACCATGAGAAGAATTATTAAAGGGTATGTTGAGGGAAAATATGGAAAATTATCAGCTATATGTTTCAGAACTTATTTTATTTATATTTTGAATCCTAGTTTATTTTTTCTTCTTAAAAGTTTACTGACTTATGAAGCATAAATTTGCTTTTAATAAATCTCTTTGGCAACATAATATGATCAACTTACAGTCTGTTATTTATTATCTTTAACAAAATTAAAAAGACAAAATGCAGAAGTATTCTTAAAAACTAATTGAAAATGTATAAAAAACATATTGGGAAATATGCCAGATATTATAACAATAAATGTAAACCACATTAGAGATATCAACACAATTCATGAAAAGAGTATTGTACACAGGCATAGGTGAACAATTAGAATGAGGCAAAGTGAATCAAAAATAATACAATTTGCAATTTCTAAATGAACTTGAAAATATCTTTCAACATTTATTTAACCATAAGTGCAAATAAAACATAAATATTAAACTGAAAATTAGTCTTGAACTTGGAGTCAAATAATTTTGTCAATGTAAGAAAATGTAGGTAAAGCAATTTATAAAATGATCTTTAGTACAAATGATATGAATTATTTTGATTACTGTTAAGAATTGTTTTTCTGAAAGCAACATTTAGATTTTTAGCCTTTCAGTGTTATTTAGTGAATTAAATACCACACATAATGGGAAATAATACTTTCCATTATATTGATCATAGACAAGTTATAAAAATAAATCTATAGATAAAAAATAATTAAAACCAGAATAATATGTAATATAGATTTTAAAAAATATGCCAGACTAACCTGATATCATGACTTCTTTGCCATGATTATATTGAGTCCTTATATGATCAATAAGTTAAATCAGAAATCTTTGATCCACCAATGTTTTGGTTGCCAAATTCTTCTGTCCTACTGTATTACGAATAAATCTAAAAATCTGCAACATTAAAACAATTGAGAATGAAATATTTATCAAGAAAATTAAATATGCACATCAAATAAAACATCTGAATTGGATTAGCTAATTCTTTCAATTAATTTCATATATTAGACTTCTGAGTTGTATGGTGATACACAAAATTATTTCAAAGCTATTATCATCCTTCATAATACTGAAGCTGTTCATGTTCCTATTTAGATGATATGTTTATGAATTAATGTAAATCTCTCATGTTCACGGGAATATACTGTTAAATTTTGGAGAGTCAACTTTTTTCTAACTCTAATAGCCATAGAAATATCAAAATAATCTATTTAGTATGAACAGAATTTTTTTCAGAATTTTAGATCTCTAACAAGGACTAATAAATTACATCTTATCACTCATAAACATCCTTCATACAGTGGAAAATACTTGAGTGATTTTACTAACAATATTTCCAGAAGCACAGATTTACCATTTCTTAAAATCTCGATTTCAGAGATTTTACCTACATAGTTATTTATTATCCACAACAAGGTAAAGGAGCTTTTCAGTAGGGAGTTCCTGAGCTAGATATCCATTGCTTGCTTTTCTTTTTGTTATGAATGGGACTCTCTTTTAAATTACTGTTAACTTTTGGTATCTAGGAGTCCGGCAATTAAGTATCTTTCTACCAGATTTCTTTCACACCTTCTGAAGCAACTTATGCCTTCCACTAGAACCTAGTAGTTCACTGATCCTAAGGACATGGTGCAGAATGTGGTCAGCTGTAGCCCTTCTTTTGGTAAGGTTAATCATATTCTAAAGAATTGGTAAGAATTATATTCTTTATAGATGTCTTACTCTCTGCAATGCAAATAAATACCTACTTCCAATTTATTTCTTTTAAAAGAAATCCAGAAAAAATTGTAAAATTTACCTCTTGTTGTAGGTATGTAAGGAAGGCTGCTAAAATGAAATTTTGGCAAGCCAAATCCACAACACAGAAGAACAACAGATCAAAAATAAGAAGAGTGGCTTCATTTCCATAATATAGCATACTGCTGAAGGAATAACTTTCATCTATTAAAAAACAATTTATAAGGTATGTGAGAAATTTTAAAAATAAATCCGTGATAAATTTATGGTGATACAATTTGGAAATTTAAAAACAGCATATTAGAAGCAAGTATTACATTATAATATAGTTTACACAAAAATAAGCAAAAGGTATTAAGATTTGCTAATTTAAAAGGTTAGTCAAAGAACTCATAAAAACTCCAAAGAAGCAGTTTTAACAAAGATTGGCAATTGCTAGTAGTATAAGTATATAATCAATACCTTGCAAAGACCAGTAAATGAATATCCCTTTTTGTATTTCTTTATCTAACTAAAGGATATATTAATCTTAGAAAGATCTTCTAAGGTAGAGTGAGTTAAGAAAAGAAAAATCTCTAACTCAACAAGTGGATTTTGTCCTTTCTGGAATATGAACACCCTTTTAAAAAGATTTAATGAACACTATAGACCTTTTCAATAGGAAAAAGAAAAAGGAAGAAAGTACAAATATACAAATTCTGCATACAATTTTTGGGAGGTTCAGAGAACTACCAATGCCACTCTGGATACACAGTGAGGAACCTCAGTCATATGAGGGACATTAGGGTACAGGAAATGTTCTGTCATGATCTGGGTGCTAGGTTATGGGAGTATATTCAGTTTGGGAAAATTCAATGACCTATCAGCTACAGCCTTACAAAACATGTACTTCTCTATGCATATTATGTTTGTGTATATCTAAGTAAAAAATCTGTCTTACACATTTTCCCTGGTGATCCACATCACTCCATCAATGACATCATACAACGGCAGTTCCTCAGCTTATTATTGCCCTTAACTTTCTCTTAAGATCTGGTCCCTTGTATTTAATGTCTTACTGGATACCTGTTCCTTGATGTCTCAAAGTACTTCAAGATATAACATAGTCAAAACTAAATTCAAATGCTTTCACTCAAAACCTGGTCCTTCCATCTACATTCCCTGACTTTGAGAAAGGCAACACTAACATCTACTTAGTCACATAAGCTGGAAGTATGGATAACTTTCGTCTACACTTTTGCTTCTACAGTTTTTTCCCCCTTAACATCTCTGGCAATGTTTCCTTTTCTCAGTTCCCATTTCTACTGCCTTAGCCCATGTCTTCATAATCTCCTGCTGAAGATGGAAGACACATAGAAGAAGAGAGAAGGAGAAGGACAAAGAACAACAAAGGGGAAAGGAAAAAAGGAAGAAGAAAAAGAAAGAAGAATGTACAAAAATGATGACTGTGTTATTAGAAATGGTAACAACATCCCTTTCCTAGGTGTCTACCCATAACAGGTATTGTTCTAGGTTCTTTCTACATGGTAATCCCATAAAACCTTGAGAGGGGTCAGACCTGATTTTATAGAGAGGGCATTAAAATTCAGAAAGGTTAAGCAAATTTCTCAAGTTCACAAAGCTAGTGAATGATAGCCTCAGATTTTGAATCAAGACCAGAAGACTGTGAAAGCTAAATTCTTAATGACTAAGCTCATCTCTATCTCAACCTGTACCATATGCCAAAGTAATTCATCCAATTCACAAATCAGATCTGAGTAGGAGTCCTCAATGATATCCATGTTCATTAGCAGAGGCTTTCAAATTATTTTGGTCATATATCCCTATCAGAATAAAATTCTGAGCATGCTACCATAGTAGATATATTTTATTAATTATTTTATATGATGATTTTTTAAAAATATAAATTAAGAATGATGAAATTATAAATACATGAATAGTCATTTTAACATTTTCTTCTCACACATATGTGGATCAACTTACTTATAGAAGGTGGGGCAAAAATTTTAGACTCTTCTACACTGTGGCCTACTTCATACTAGACTACTAAAAGTCTAAAGTACAGAATGCATTTTATAGACTTTAAAAATAAATCTCCTTGGGCTGGGGATGTGGCTCAAGTGGTAGCGCGCTCGCCTGGCATGTGCGGGGCGCTGGGTTCGATCCTCAGCACCACATAAAAAGAAAATAAAGATGTTGTGTCCACCAAAAACTGAAAAATAAATATTAAAAAATTCTCTCTCTCTCTCTCTCTCTCTCTCTCTTAAAAAAAAAAATCTCCTTTCTCTTCTGCATGAATGTATTTGTGTGTCTCTCTCTGTTAAGGGAGACCATAACACTCTTGTTTGACAAACAGTTATTTACACTTTAGCATCCAGTTCAAACTTCTCCATGTTGCCTTTTCTGAATTCACCCTACCTGGTTAAATTTTTTTTTATTGCTTTTCTGTCCCTGATGTAACTTGTGCCTGCACAGACTTTTATCCCAGAACACTCTACTTACTCATTCACATGCCCATCTTCCACAGATCATTAATGAGTCTATATATCCCAGGACTGGAAAACATGTGGCATGAAATACACATGGATATCTAGACCAGGATGCTAGTTATACTATTTTCATTCTTACAAATCTATAATAACAGGTTATTAGTCACATTATAAGTAAGATATATACCATTTTTCTATAAATTAAAAACCAGGTTTAATCACTATTCCCATTACAAACATCAGTGATTTTTGAAGAACCTGGACAAAATAAAGAATCAGATATTGAAGATTAAACACAAATGTTACTCTTTCTTTAAATGTTTCTAAAAGTCTGCTATTGAATGAACATTCTAATAAAAAGTAAATCTTATGTATTTGTTTTACTTTCTCTTAAGTGTGTACTGTTGATTCTGAAATTCATCTCTTTTGCTTTCTTGTAGAATCTTTTATCTATCTGCTTCCTGCTACATAACACAGAAAATTATCATAGTTTCATGAAATTGAGTTCATGATGTCTCCCTGTTTTCATATAAAATCATAAAAATCACAGGAAAAATAACCACAAGTCTTTTCCCCTTAAACTTTGAAAATAATAAACAAGTTCAGCAAAGGTATTTGAAGTATACCACTGTAAAAGATGCTTTTTTCCATTGGCTCCATGAATTCCATTCCAAGAACTCTTTCAAGAAGCAACTTGTCTTTTATGAAGTAATCCATTTCCTTATGAACCTAACATAAAACAGTCATATAAAAAATAGTAGTGAAATAAATGATTTCCAATTAATGCAAAATAAGAAATAGGGAAAATGAATAGTACACAAAGAAAATCTGTTCTTCAAAATGAATGTACTATACTGGATTCTAGAACAAAATTCTCTTTATGAATGTTTTAAATTTTAAATGCTGTATTTAAGTTTTAAATACTACTACAAGTAGCATTTATGGCTAGATATACTGAAAATCAATTTACAGAATTTTTGGAATGCAATTATAGCATAACATAAACATAACTCAGTATGATCAGTAATATAGTAATATTTTGGTAACCTGCTAAAAAAATTCTAGTATAGATTATTTTATAGGACTCTTCACTTGTTAATAAACACATAAACTCATACTTTTCTTTTATATAACCTAACATTGTTAAATCGCAATTGAGTAGTTACAAATATCTTTTTAAAAATCATTCCTACATATTAAATTTGACAGACAAAAGAGGAAAATTCACTCATTTGGTTGACTCAAATTATAACTGACATTTGCTCTTAGCTTTATAAAAACTGCATTTGATCCTAGCTTAAATATAAATGTTGATATACATACATGATCAATGAAAGAGCCAAGAAATTTATTCATCGCATGATATGCTTTTATACTCTGCTCAAAAGTACTTGCTGATGAACTCAATAGTCTAGCAGGGCCATTTTTCTAACATAAAAAAGAGAAATAAATAAATACAACATGTTTTATGTTCTTGGTATTGAAGTAACATTAACTATTGGCAAAATGTATCTGAACAGTACTTTATACAAACCCTTGTCAAAGTCTCATGAATTCTGTCATAGTGTTGTCTCATCTGGCCAGAAACTGCAATCTGAAAAGTCTGATTATCTGTGTTGGGCACCAAACCTCTCTGGCTACACAAATTTTCCTGAAAAGTTAAAAGAATTAAAATTAAGATGGAAATTATAAAAATCTGCCTATCTCAAAAAGAAAACACATATTTTACTTTTAGTTGGTATCACATACTCCAAGATTTAGAAGCCTTGTAAAGTTTACTGAAGAATTTGAAGAAAAGAGATTCTAACATTATTCAAGTTTACTGATTTCTAGTTTATTCTAGTTCATACTTCCCTATAGCTCTTTATATTGTCTTCTTTGCTCTACTAAAAACATATCTCTAAAAAGAAATAAAAATAAACTAACAGATAAATCTCAGGTTTTTTCCAAAGATTTTTGTTATAGTGGTTCGCCTGAATAAGAATTCAAAATAAAGCCCATACACTGTTTTTGATTGTTTCGATTCTTAAACCTCTCTTAGTATATAACAGACCTTCAACACCACAGTCACCCCCATTTTCTTTACATGTCACTAGTTTGTTTGGAGACATTGAGTCATTTGTCCTATGAGGCATCTACACTCTGGATCTGGCTAATTACTTCCTATGATGCTATTTAAAATGTATTTAAATTGTAATTATATTCCTTGTATTTCCTGTAAAACAGTAAGGCTTGATTATATTCAGGTCCAATTTTCTCAGGCAAGAATACTTCACAGGTATTATTATATGAACATCCTCCCATAGCATATTAGGAAGTGTATAATGTCAGTTTCCTTCATTTTAATTACTAAAAAACTGACTAAGTATGTCCAGATTATGACAACCTGATCCCTCATTATAAAGTTCCCATCAATATTCACTTAATTGTTTTGACACCCACTGATGACTGCTGCCTACTCTCATTAATTCACTAGTCATTAAAAAATGGTTACTGTCTAATTTATAAGGAAGAACTTTTATATTGTGTATTATTCAGATGTGGAATTACACAGAATTCTATATGAACTGCCGGATAAAATTAGGTTCTTTTCCTTGACTAGTGTTCATGGTAATAAACTGGTAGCCTAGCAACTTTCAAAACTGACTAATGAGGATTTTTAAAAACTATTATTATAAATCCTAGATTAAGAAAAGAGAATCCATCTCTCAACTTACAAACAAAAAATGTAAAATACTTTCATACCGCTTCTCTTTTAAGATTCATATTCATTTCTTCCATATTAGTATCTGCATGCCCATGAACTGATCTACCATGAATGTAATATCCAAAACATTTGTGGGATAACAGAAACACCGATATCTATAAAAAGAGAAGAAAATGAACAATTAGCAATTCACCAGCAAAACACTAAAAATTAATTTTTCTTAAAATTACTTCCTTTCTCCCAAAATAATAAAAATTGAATTCTTAGGAAATATATAAAAGGGATAACAAAGTAATAAAGGATAATGAGGTTATTTTTAAAAAGTAGATGGAAAGAAGACTTGAAGATATTTTCTAAAAAAGGAAGACTTTTCGAAACATAAAAATTTTCAGAGGCAAGAGGATAAATAAAATATTTGGCAGCAAAATAAATTCATAATTAGGAACTGCAAATAAAGAAGAAACAAACTAAGACAGTGAGTATTAATTTGTAGCTCATTATAACTATCTCTGAAATTAAAAGCCAGTGAAAATCAGACTAAAAATCCAATCATACCAAATCACTTTTAAAGCCTCTCTTAATGTATTCATAGCTTTTGTTTTTTGTTGTTGTTGTTTGTTTTTTTGGTACTAGGGATTGAACCCATGGGCACTTAACCACTGAGCCATTCCCAGCCTTTTTATGTCTTATTAGAGACAGGATCTCGCTGAATTGTTTAGGGCCTCACTAAGTTGCTGAGGCTGGATTTGAACTTGTGATCCTCCTGCCTCAGTCTCCAGAGTCACTGGGATTACAGGTGTGTGCCTGGCTTATTCATAACCTTTAAAAAGAGAAAAATGACAGTTGCAAGATAAAGTCAAAAAGTACTTACATTACTCATAGAGCATAAATCAACAAATTGTCGAATTTTATCCTCCACAAATCTCTCATAAAAAGCAGCAAAGAACACAATCTGAAACATTAAGCCAAGTTCATGCTTATTAGCTTTTAGGATTTCAATCTTCTTTTATAGTCATACCATAGTATTTTAAGAAAAAAAAAGAAGTTCCAACCAGGAACACAGTGGTCTCTAATGCTTCCTGTGGGATAAGATCCTACTTGGCGTTTCTGACTGTATGTCAAAGGAACAAAGATTTTGTGTTAAGGGTCTTTGAGGGACCCCATTTTAAATTTTAAAAACTTTTCTGTGTCTAAACAAGACAAATTGAATGAAGAGAGAAAAAAAATTTAAAAAATTTAGGATGGATCCATGTTCTAATGGCCAGATTTATCTTTGGTTCTGTAATTTTATTCATCTCCTGGATTCCAAAAGTCATTCGAAATTTGTGCTTTTCAAATTAATTTTCTCTGATAGAATACCACATAAAATGTATATATCTTAGTATTCTATTTTGACAATAGATGTGTTAACTATGCAAATGGATTGATTTTCAGTGTTTTCTTAGATTTAACAACACTAGAAAGGGAAATTTTACAAATTAAAAAATTTTACATTGTAGACCTTTTTAGATATAGGTTTTGGAGAAAGATAACATTTCCTAACTATCCTATTTAAAGCTGTCACTACTGTCCCCCATTCCTGATCCCCATTCCCCTCACCTCTGTTCACTATTTCCTGCCAAATCTCTATAGTGTTATAACCCATAACTAGTTCTTGTTATAGCATATCCATGAATCAGCACAGTATCTATTATATAAGATGTATTCAAATATGCAAATGAATAAATAAGTGAATCTACAGCAGCTGATTATTAAGAACATGTTCTGAAACACTCCACATACATATTTTTAAGCTCCTCTGAAGAACATGAAAAACACCAACATTCAAAATTTAAAAATTAAAGAATACCACTTAAAAGCTGAAGAAGCTAGGTTAAGAGAAATAAAAGGACTGAACAATAAAACAGCCTAACAGATTATTACAATTCAGAAATATTTATACACATTTATGAGGCCATAACAAGTTATTAAGAAACTCACAAGGATATTTGAGGAATAAACACTGAAATATTAGAATATTGCCAAGGGGAGACATCAGTCTGACAGTGAAATGAGAAGCAAAGAATGAGGTTAGGTAGTGGCATGTGGCTGTCCCAACAATTCTTTACTCTTTCTCCTTAATAACAGACTAATCCTTTGAGCAGGACCCACACAAATGCCCAGCCAAAAGACTCCAGTGTAGCCAGGTATAGTAAAATGACCAAGTTCTAGCCAACGAGAAGCTGGATGGCACTTCTGAAAGGCTCTTAAAAATGGGAAGGTGAATTAATCTCCCCTAGCTCCTTTCTGCAACCCAGTCATTATGGACCATCGTATGACCTTAGAGATGGAAGACCCAGGTGACAGAGCTGAACAGCTTTCTGTATCCCGATGGCAGTAGTAAGCCACAATTCTAGTCCTGCACTGCTCATCTTTGCTCTTCCTTTTCATGGGAAAAACAAAGTTCTTTCATTTCAGTCACTCCTATTTTGTTTTGTTTCTGTTACATTCAACCTAATATGGAAAGTTTCAGATAATATTCCTTTAAATTTTCTATATCAGATGACATCTGATATATTCACAAAAATACTGGTACATGTACAAAATATTTCCTTACTATTATATTGATGATAAACATTAAAATCCATACTCTTAATCCACCTTATTTCAAATTCTAATTTGTTTGTTTTCCTTTTTGGTTATTAACTTTCCCTTATTAGCTAAATCTCTATAGCTTTAAGTTTGACCAAATCTCATCAATTTATAATTTTAAAAATTTTTAAAAAATTCATAATAAGTGTCAATTTATTTGTATTTTTTTATTTTTGGGTACCAGAAATTGAACTCCGGGGCACTCAACCACTGAGCCACATCCCCAGCTCTTTTTGTATTTTATTAGAGACAGGGTCTCACTGAGTTGCTTAGCCCCTCACTTTTGCTGAGGCTGGCTTTGAACTTGAGATCCTCCTGCCTCAACCTCCTGAGTTGCTGGGATTATAGGCCTGTGCCACAGTGCCCAGCCATAAATATCAATTTAAAAAGTCAATTCTCAGGTTATACAATGCCATCTGGATCCAATTCCGTAGGAATATGCTCTATTAAAGCGACTTTAATCCCAAAATATCCTTAAAAATAGGCTGCTTTAGGTATACACTTATTAACCAGAGTATAGGAAGTTAAACCTATTCACTCTAGAGGTCTCATCTTCATTTGCTGTTTATAAAAGAACATTTTAATTAAACAGAAAAACTCTCTTCTATTCATGGAAGCAGCTGGAAGCAAAAGAGAGAAGTACACATTATTAGAGTTAAGTATTTTAGTTGCTGCTTTTTCTTTTTACTTTAAGAGGATAAGGAAAGCAAGCATTGGAAAAAAAAAAAACTCTACTAAAGCCATGGGACTCTGAGGCTGAGAGGATTATTTTTACTTTTGGTTATTTCAATAAATATTTCAAAAGAAATATTTGCAGCTTGAGTATATGACACATAAATAAATGTAACAATAAACTACGTTTCAAAGGAAAAGAGAATACTTAGGGTAGCATAATTGTCCTGTAGTACACATAAACTAGACAAGGGGTCCATCCTATGACTAGAAAGCTATAGATCCTGAAAGACCCTTCAGAGCCCACTAGTAACAAGAACATGAACTCTGAAATCAAGATGCTTGATTCCAACCTAGTTCTGCAAACTATGAATTTGCATGATTTTTACATAACTCTGAGCTATTTAATCTTCTCATGCTCCACATTTCCTCACCTGCAAAATAAGGGTCCAACAGAACCTATCTCTGAGGGTTAATGTAAAGATTAAGTAGTTAATATATGGAAAGCAATGAAATGATTAACACAATGCTTGCATTATAATACAATACAGAGTTAGCTATTATTGTTGTTCTTATCACCTTTCTTCTGCTGTTGAAATCAGTATATGGTAACTATTTGAGGATAATTACTATGCAAGCAGAGGTACAGAGAAACAATGTTATCTAAAAGTATAATCTCTTATTACCTGTATAATTCCAATGACTAGCCAAAGAGCAGTAGTCACTGCATATCTCAGGATGCGGCTATAAGGAGCTATGTAGCTAGATGGGTTTCTAGAAAGACTAGAGGATGAGTCCATTAATGCTAAGTTCTTGAATCCCACAACCTGAAATAAAAAGGGACAATAATAATTTAAACAGACATGAATAAAAAAAAAAACTCTTCCAGACTGAAAATGGAATATTTTTTTCTATTCCCCAACATAAAAGAATTAAATATACAAGTCTGTAAACAGTAGAAAGTCTAGGTTAAAAGTAATTATTATTCAGTATATTAAAAAAATTTTTTTTTGGTCATGCTAGGGATTGAACTCAGTGTCTCAGAGCATGCTAGGTAAGCACTCCACCATTGAGCCACATCTCCATTCCTATTAATCCAGTATTTAAATTGTAAAGTATTTACTCCACAATATTTGTTAGCTCATTTGGTTTTCTTCTTGATACACATAAGGGTCAAATATAACTTTGACCTATCTACTGGCAAAATAAAAAAAGAAAATTGTTAAAATAAACTTTCTTTAGTAAACTATCATTGAGTTAAACTAACAAGTAGCAGTTCATGAGGATTTAACATTTGTCAGGCAATATATTAGCTACTTTTTCTCCTTTAAAATAGTATATGCCAAAATGTCTTCTAAACATATCTTCTTTGATGAAAAGAGGCTAGGGTCAAATAAGTTTGATTTGTAAATTACATTTACCTCCATGCTTCCCACTCCTGTGGGATAAAGGCTTTGAGAAGTTTTAGTGTAAGATTTCTAAATCATTTTGTTGATTTAAGTGTTTTACAAGATTAACTGACATAAAATTTCTTTATCGTGAAACACCTTTTAAAGCTCACCAGTCTTTGTTTTGGGATTTTATTTATTTATTTTTTGGTACTGGGCATTAAACAGAGGGGCACTTAACCACTGAGCCACACCCCCCAGCACTTTATTTTAATATTTTATTTGGAGACAGGGTCTCGATAAGCTGCTCAGGGGCTCGCTAAATTGTTGAGACTGGATTTGAACTTGTGATCCTCCTGCCTCCGCTTTCTGAGCCACTGGAATTACAAGCATGTACCACCACACCCAGCAACGTTCTTTTTTCTGATATAGGGATTGAACCCAGAGGTGCTTTACCACTGAGCTGCACCCCAACTTGTTTTATTTATTTATTTGAGATAGCATCTTGCTATGCTTAGGGCCTTGAGAAGTTGCTGAGGCTGCCTCTGAACTTGTGATCTACCAGCCTCAGCCTCCCTACTCTCTGGGATTGCACGTGTGAGCCACCACATCCCTCGATCACGCAACACCCCCAAACACTCTCAAAAACCACTACATTACCAAACAAGATAGCTAATTATGTGAAGTAATAGATACGCTAATTAGCTACATTTAGCCATTCCATAATGTATTCATATTAATACATATTGTACCTTATAAATATATATAACATTTTCCTTGCCAATTAAATAAAAGCACTACTTCAACTCAGTTTTTGAACTATTTAAATATTATTTCAAAGCTCTAGGGACACATGCATTCTTCTATTATTTTTAAAAATGAAAAGGAAGGGTTGTATACAGTGGCATATGCCTGTAATCTCCGCAACCTGGGAGGCTGAGGCAGGAGGATCCCAAGTTTGAGGCCAGCTTAAGCAAAACCCTCAGCAACTTAATGAAACCCTGTCTCAAAATAAAAAATAAAAAAGGACTGGGGATGTAGCTCAGTGGTGAAGTGCCCCTGGATTTAATCACCAATTACCCCTGCCACACCAAAAAAGGAAAGAAATAGAAAAAAGGAAAGACGGAAAAAAAGAAAACAGAATAAGAATTAATTTATATCCAACATTAAGGCAGATAATTCCTGGAAAAACCAGTCATTCATAAAGATAGATCTTTTTCCATGTTTCAGTCTTATATTCCAGCACTAAATGCTTCTTTTGATAATCTCAAACAGATCCATGAAAAAAGCATAAATGTACACTAAGAGTGTTATATCTTGTTCAGTCGTAGCCCCAGCGTTTAGCATAGAACATAGTCTGAAATAGATATTCAGTAATAATTGGTTGAAAAATATCAACCTTATAATAATGATTCTAATGCAGGGGTAACAATATGGTATGGTAGAGAGGAGTTTTTCAAAATATAGATAACTGTGCTTATCTCAGAGCTATTAATGAAATACAATCTCTAAGGTAAGGAGCATAGATATTTTACACAACTTCCCCCAGGGATTCTGACATAAACCAATGGCTTAAATTATACCTAGAGTTCTCAAATTCATGGAGGTGGAAAGAAGAATGGGTTTGGGGCACTGGGACAAGGTAATGGTATTGAGTTGTTTAATGGGTATAGAGTTTCAGGTTTTTTAAGATGAAAACTTCTGGAGATGGAGGGAGGTGAGGGTTTTGTATAACAATGTGAATATACTTAACACCACTGAATTATATACACTTAAAAATGGGCAAGAGGATAAACTTTCTTATAAGTATTTCACCACAACTTTTTTCTTTTGGTCTATTTTACAGTAAGAAGAAAAGATGAAAGCAGAGGTCCCCAAATTTGTTTCAAAACAACTGCTTTTTAATGTGTTTATAATAATATTTCAACTTATAAAAATCTCCTCCACTATCATGAAAACTTAGTTGGAATTATATTAACATTTGTGGGATACCAGTAAGTTGCATAGAATTACATCAAACAGTTTATACCTCCAAAAAGAAGAGCACAGTAAGTACTTGAAAAAGTGGATTGATTTTTCTTACAGTCTGAATCTCATTCCATTCATTTGCTACAAAATATGTCCTCCATATGCTTACAGGAACAGTGGCACTCCGTACACCACCCTCACCTGGTTGGAAAGATAAAATGAATAAAGGCAATTCATCTTCTTTGCTCTGCAAGAGTAGCAAAAAATTTGGTACAAATGTTTATTTCAGTTACCTTCAATGGCTTTAAGAACCTTTCCTTTCGGTCGCTCCCAATCAATAAAGAATATATCTATGGTAATCTGGGATATGATCTTATGCAAAAATTGCAGAGCCTGAAAATGACATACAATAAAACATGTGAAAAGTATCAGCATTAAGCCTGTGTATGAAATCAATATTGATTTTTTTAAAAGAAACAAACTGAAATGATAAAGAGTATAGAATTTTTGCAAGTGACTTCATATGAAGTTCTAATATCATTAGGGAGTCACTAGAAGCTCATCACATAACCTAGAATTACCAAATTCACAGAATTGTCATACATCTATTAATTCTTTCCTTAAAACCAACAAACAAAAAAAAAGGAAGACATCCTATCTCTTCTTTCCATAGGTGTCTTGCATAATTATAATTGAGTTTCCCAAAATTTTGTGAATCATCTGACTTCTTTATAAGAAAAGAAATTTAACTGTAATTTGCTAATCCTAATTAATATGTTAGGATGCTCTGTCTCTTTATCTCTAGTATTGAGATTATTGATTTAAAAAAACTTGTTGAAACATCTTTTTCATTTATGATCAATATGTTTAAAATGAATATTCTTTTTAGGGGCTGCAATACTGGTAAAGAATAAAAATTTAAGTATGACTTTTTTTTCCCCCTCAGGAAGCTCCTATTTCAATGGGAAAAGTAGACACCTAACCATCACAATACAATGGAATGGAATCTACCAAAGAATCATGTTAAGAGCTTCACCGACATAGATGGAAAACACTGAAGTTGGGGAGGGGTTTCCATGGGAAGAGAAGAGAAAGAAATAAGAACTAGAGAAAACAACCTCTAAGATTTCAGTACTTTATCCAGAGTGTTACCTTTCATCCTGGATTAACAAAGAGGAAAACTTCATGCCTGAAACATTTTATATCATTGTGAATGTATCATCAGATTTTAAAGATGAAAGATAGATACTAAAATATCATTTTATCAAGTTATCCATAACTCTTGATAATCCAAACATATTTTATTTAAGGTAAACTATGGAATGAGCTATTATAAATAAAAGCAAATTTCCTATATAAAACAATTCATTCTTTCTTTCAAAACTAAATTTTAAGTTTTACATCAAAGATTTTGAAAACATTTTAATTTTGAAGACTTTTACTAGTTTATTATCGGTCCTTTGAAACTCACCTTTAGGGCAAAAGCACATCCTACATAAGTAACAAAACGTTCTTCCTGAACTGGCATTGGTAGCAAAACAGAGACAGACTTCTGTGCCTATAATAAAAATTATTTGGTCAAAAAAATCACACCAGGTATAAACCAAAGAAACTGTGAAAGAAGGAGATAGTGATGCACTTACTGAATGACATACTAAGGGAATGATGAGTTTAGCGTTTGCCTCAATACTCTTGATTAGAAACACCCCCAGATAAAAATAGTTTCTTTGTAAGAAAGCTTACTAGTTATTCAGATACTGTCATTTAGGTTAAATTCAGAAACTCACTCACTTTGAAGAAAATAATCCAGTAAAGACCAGTTCCCACTGTGATGATAAAAAAAACATTGGCCAGATCACCAGCATAGTACAACAAGAATTTCATAACTGTCTGTAATTTAAAAAGAATTAAAAATGTTAAAGACTCCATCTATTTAGCCCTTCAAGTGACACACTATTTATAATAACATATCATTTATGCATTTTCTCAAGCCCCAAGGTCTTGTTTCATGTATTCATGTCTACTTAGACCAACTAAGCCCCCTCCTACATATACCTTTTGGATCCTTACTCTTCATTCACTCCTGGAAGCTCTGTCTCCTTTCAACTCTCCCATGTTCCACTAAGAAAGGGGAGTAATTCCAAATTTTCTCTTAGTTAGGAACCTCTATTCCAATGTACCTTGTACACTTTCACCAGAGTTACTTTTCTAAAATGTAAATTGGATGTGTTACTCCCTTTCTTAAAAACATACATGAGTGCTCACTGAAACTTAAATCGTTAACCCACAATTTCCCTTCCAACATGAATCAAAGTTAATTTTTTATTTATCTTCTTCTGCCAATTCCAATCATGTACTAAATGACTATCCACTCTACACTTCCATCTCAAATACTTTGTGGAATGAGATGTTTTATCAAATATTCTTCCCTTTCTCTCTCTAGAATACTTTTCTTAGTTCTAGGGTATAAACATATCACTACCTTGTGTCCCAGTGCCTGATACAGTGCCAGAAACTCAGATATTAAGCCTCAGACAGTCCAGCTTAATATCCACTTCTGTAGGAAGTGACTATTTCTTGACTATTAGTAAATCATGTCTTCCTGCTCTTATTCCTTAGCATATTGGCTTTGGAGTTAAGACATACTGGTTAAACAAGTTGCCATGTAGCCTTTCTCAGAATCTTCATCAGCAAAATCAACAATAGCTTTTGCTAAAATGCTGTAAAAATTGAGTAGAAAACTTCTATCTCAGTTTCATCATGTATAAAATGGGTAGAATAATAATAATACCTAACTAATATCTCCATATTGTGAAGTTTAAAAGAATTATATACATAAAGCTTGAAAAAGTGCCTGGCACACAGAAAATATTTACTAAATTAAAAAACAAATTTAAAAAGATTAAATGCGGAGTAAAACTATGTTAACAAAATTAAATGAGGGTGGTCATCTTTTTGATGTTGAGATGGGAAGGTTTTCCAATGCAAACTGTGACATCAAAACTATTCAGATGTAATAATATCAAAATTAAATTTTTTAAGCAAACTCATTGATAAGAATAACAAATAGCTTATATATTCAGAGAAAATATTTCAGCATCAAAAACCAAAAAGGGGTTAATATTTGGGAAAATACAAAAGATTTCAAGTGGGAAATCTAATAGAAAAATGGGCAAGGATTGTAAATAGGCAATTTACAAAAAGGGAAATCCAAATGATTAAAAAAAATATATGCAGGGCCAGGATCAGTGGCATGCCTGTAATCCCAGCAGCTCTGGAGGCTGAGACAGGAGGATTGCAAGTTCAAAGTGAGCCTCAACAAAAGCAAGGAGTTAAGCAACTCAGTGAGACCTGTCTCTAAATAAAATACAAAATGAGGCTGGAGATGTGGCTCAGTGGTCAGGTGCCCCTAAGTTCAATCCCCAGTAGCAAAAAAAAAAAAGAAATACAGAATCAAAAGTGAAAATAAAATCAATAATGACATACTAATATATACCATCATACTGGTAAAAAATGGAAAGCTTGGAAAAAGTATCAAATGTTAGTGAGAATGGGAAGAAACAAGAATGGCACTGCTGATGGGAATACAGACTGATATAAAAGCATTGTGGGAGGAAAATGAGGTAAATATGCCCTATGACCCAGCAATACTTATCCTAATCTTTTTTTCCAGTTTCATTTTGATTTATTTTGTATGTTACCTATCCTAATTTATACTCCAGAAAAGTTCAAGGCAACTTCCTTACTCATCCTATAGTTTGTCTTATGAGAAGGATCCAGAACAGTTAAAAGAGAAAAAGTACACTTCGATTATAACCTGTAAATCAATCATGGGACTTCCAATGCGTCTCTTCCACCCTGCTGTCTTCAAGAGAGATGATAAAATGGCTAGTCCACCCAAAACACCCAAAGCAATCTAAAAAAAAAAAAAAACCAAGAAAAATTTTAGAATTCATATGATTCCTTTCATCAATATTCAAATACACTATAACTAGAAAGGGAAAAGTACTCAAAAAATGGCGCAGGGCTGGGGGCCGACATGGTTAAATGACACTGAAACCAAACTGAAGGAGGTTCCAATGGCCAAATCTGGAAGAATTTGAACTACAAAATAAATAATAATGGATTATAATTGAGTTACTAACAAAGGGAAAACTTCTCCTTGTAATAAAATTCCAATTTGTAAATACAAAAGGAATGAAGGGAATAGAAAAAAATATCACCATCAGGTAAATATCTTAATAATACTTTCTGCCAGCAAGGATCATCAATGGATGCTAAAATTGGAGGGCAAAAGAATGAAGAGAAGCAGAATATGTGAATGGTTTTAAAGAATCTCTTCATGAAATACTTACTAATTACAAATGGAAAAATATAGATGAGAACACTGCAGAAACAATCTTTGCCACATGAACAAAATTAATATCACCAGTAATAAGACATACTATACTAACATCATGTGCCTTCTGATATCATGAATTGAGAACACATCATTTCCATGGCATCTTTGATAAAACTAAATGAAATCAATTAATCATACAAAGATACCAGACAAACAAAAAATTGAGGGCCAAAATAATTAAAATGTATTCTTTTAAAGTATTATGGTCATGAAAGACAAAGAAATACTAAGTGTCACAGACTGGAGGACAATAAGAAGACATGACAGCTATAAGCAATCTGGGATATGAACTGGGTCTTAAAACAGAGAAGGGTGGTGAAAAAAAAAAAAACAAACAAACAATCCATGAAAGCAGTTAGTTACCAGGATTACATTAATATTCTTTTCCTGATTATGATCACTGTATTATGGTTATTTAAGATGTTAATATTAATGGAAGTCAGATAAGAGTTTGTGGTAAGTCTATTTGACACCTTTCTTGTATATCTGAAATTAATTATTTAGATTTAAAAAATGTAATAAATATTTGTGATGGACCTTTATTTTATTTATTTTATATGCAGTGCTAAGAATCGAACGTAATGCCTCACACATGCTAGGCAAGTGCTCTACCACTGAGCAATAACCCCAGCCCCAAAGATGTAATAAATATTTTAACAGGTTAAAATATACTCACATTTGTCTGGACAAATGCTTCCCCTTGATTCATTTCATATTTGACTGAGAAAGAAACCTGATATTTAAAAGAAAACAAATGAGTCATACTAAATTCTATAACATAAACCTACTTTTATTATAAAAATACATTTGTAGTTGGATTTCACCATAAATGCCATATTTTTTAACTGTCCATATTACTAGAGTTGACCCTTCCTTACACATAAATAGAATTACGAGAATTCATAATTTTTGAGAATTATTTCTGCTGCTTTAAATATTTCTTTCTTAGACACATGAAAGAAAGAGGGGTTCATTAGGAGTTTAGTTAGGTTTATTAACAGCAGCTCAAGTCAAACTAAGCATTTTCATTTTCTGGTAGGTTTCTGTAATTAAGAAATGTGAATGAACTTGTATATCAAGGTTACTCAATAGTCTGAACAAGAATCATAGGGATGCCACTATATGAAGAGGCAAGAGGAAAAACAAAACTAGTAAAGATAATAAGAGAAGAAGATGGTGAGAGTCAACTACTTAAGTCTTACCACAGTCACAGAATGGGGCATTTCAAGAAAGAAGGGGCCAAGAAGTCAGTGTTAGATGCATAAATGTCAAGTAGAATTCACTGCTGACCTTTATGAGAGGTTTTCATGAAAAAAATCCAGTTCACTTTAGCATTACTAGTTATAAAGCTGATTATTTTAATCTCTTTTTGCCTACTAAAGTATGTCTATTCAGGGGATCATAGAGTGGTGAGCATGTATATGCCCACTATGACTTCTGAGTTCCTGGTTTAATCAGGCAAGGAAATGAGAAGCAAAGTGGCCAAAAAGGACAGGAGCAATTAGATGCTTCCTATCTCAGCCTACCCCAGATCCCCCACAGTGATGTCTGATATCTGACTGCCAATGACTCTTCCACTAAAGAATTTTATCCATTCTTTTTTTTTTTTTTATACTCAGGATCCATAAAAATTCAACTCCTACCATTATTAGTTAAAACAAATTAAGACTTGATTATATAAAGAGAAAAACTTATCTAAAAACTTGAAAAAAAAAAAGTTTGTCTTGTCTTTGACCTTTAAGTAAACTACATCAGTTATACGTTTATACATATAAGGGCACTGATTAGTAAAGTACTTGCCTTAACAGACTGGCTCTTGGGGTCTTTGATATCAATATCATTGTAGGCAATAGTGATTAAGGGAGGATATATGTTTCCATTTTTTGTGTTTGGCACAAGGCTGATGCTATTTAAAAGAAAATGCATTTGTAGTTATGAATATACATAGGGACTTAAACATACACTTATTATTATATTTGAATTTAAAATAGGTTATCATGATGATCTCAGAACCAAACTGTTAATAAGTTCTAAGGAAGATTAAACATAAACTAACAGTAACAACAAGCTAATCTTAAGTGGTTGAAAATTTAGTGTTAAGAGTATTTGCTCAGAAAAAAATTAGAAACTCTTATGATCCAGGTCCTATGAAGTTTACAAATGAAATCACTGAAAGCATTTTAAAACCATCTTTAAGGAATTATCAAAAGAGCAGTGCTACATGATGACTATAGAAAGTCAGATAATATTCTGATTATCGAAAAAATAATTCTTAACAAAATATGTGTCACCTTGCTGTATCTGTGGCTCAGTGGTAGTGCACTTGCCTGGCATGTGTGAGGCACTAGGTTCGATTCTCAGCATCATATATAAATAAATAAATAAAATAAAGGTCTATCAACTACTAAAAAAATATTTTTAAAAAATCAAGTACTGTTTAAGGCACAAAGTAGGCTACATTTTGCTCAAATAGGATACATTATGCATTAGTACTGTATAGCTTGTGAATACAAAAAGGAAAGTGCCAGCATGGTTTCATCAAGAACAAGTCAAGACTGACTTGGTCTGATTTCATTTTTACTAGGGATGCTATACTAGCAGATTAAAGAAAGGTTAAAAACAGTACATTTGGGGCTGGGAATGTGGCTCAAGCGGTAGCGCGTTCGCCTGGCATGCATGTGGCCTGGGTTCGATCCTCAGTACCACATACAAACAAAGATGTTGTGTTCACCGAAAACTAAAAAAAATAAATATTAAAAAATTCTCTCTCTCTCTCTCTCACTCTCTCTCACTCTTTCTTTAAAAAACAAAACAAAACAAAAAAAAACCTAGTACATTTGGATTTCAGCAAGATATATGACAAAGCTTCCATATTGCCACCTCATATAATCACTAACAGAATCAAAGTAAAATAAGAGTGAAAAAATAGTGTATATTAAAATGTTTTAAAGTACTAACATAAAATGCATCCATATGTACAATGCACATATCATAAAATATTAAAGTGGGTTTCAGTTAAGATCTTAGAGACAGGTATTTCACATTGAAGACAAAAAATGTGAGCTACATGTACAATTCTGGTGTTGCTAATTAGTATGGGTTGACCTAGAACCATAGCCATTAAGTATGAGGATGGGTGTCGCTGAACTAACAATCATTCAGGCTCTTTTTAAAATACCCATTTCAGCTCAGTATTTACCTTCCCTTACTCTTTGAACACATTTTAATTCAGGTCTAGAGTGGGGCCTAGACTATGAGTTTTGACCAAACTCCTCAGGCTCCCCTAACATAATCCTCTCCTTGGCTCTTCAGCTTTATTGGTCTGTGTTAATCTACCCAGCTACCTGAGAAAACCTATGTATTATTCCAGTTCAGTTTTCTTTACTGGATAATTAACTGGTACATACTTTCATTTTCTCATATACTCCAAGTCTAATTTAGTCATTAGATATTTGTTTACCTCAGTGATATTTGGGTAGCAATTCTAATTACTCTTGGCTGACTTCCTAAGTCATTTTCTCGTCCACTTATTGCATCTACTAAGAAAATGCGCCGAGTCAGAATCCACTTGCTAGGGTCACTGTCTTTTATTATAAAAAGAAAAACAAAAACAAGATAACATTAAAAAAAAATCAAGTTGTTCAAAATGATTCTCAAAATGTTTACTAAACAAATTTAAAATACAAAATTACTATTTTGTTTTAGACAAGGTGGCCGTAAAGAGCTATTGCTATAAGAAATGTCTAGTTACTGTTTTTCTCAGCTCAATCGATGTCATCTGATTGAATGTTTCATTAATATGGATGGAAATTAACTGAAAAAGTCAGATTTTATAGCATAGGTAACAACAAGAGAATTAATTTGTCTAAAAAAGCAGATCAAGGGCAGTTTAAGGAAAAATCAATTTATCGTTCTACTAATTTTTCTCAGTGTACATCCTCAGCAATAGAATAAATTTTTTAAAAATATGCCTGAAAACAGGATTAGCAAATATATAAGTGATCTTATTGTTTTACATTTTGCCATAATATATAGAAGTCCATTAATAAAAAATAAGAAAAAAAATCTAGCTATGAAAAAAAAAAGAATCCATAACCTTTCTTAAAATCAGTGGTTTATTAAATTACCATGTTGGGTAACTTATTTAATTATTTCAGCTCAGAGAAAGAATGATATGTATGGATGTCTTACCTTGGTTCACAAACAGTTTATTGTGTTGAAGATTTAGGTTTAATACAGGCACAGCCCAAATATTTTGGTGTTGATTTTTATCAGTATATTCAAGATAAACATCATAAAATACAGGAGTAGGAAAGTCAGCTAATATTTTAGAGATAGAAATCTCACACTGGAAAATAAAAATAAAAACATCACAATTGAAAATTTAGAAAGCATATTTGTTATTCTTAAGACAATGTTTTGTTTTAGTTTTGCAAAATAAATATTTTTAAATTATCTTGTTTACATGCATTTCCATATGACTTACAAAATGTGAATTCACAAATATGATTCTTTTATAAGGGCGCCCCCCAAAATCTAACATTAACTGCTCTGTTCTTGACCTACAACACACACAGAGAAGGTATGCCTACATTCTCAATATTAAGTGTACATCAGTGAAAGGATTTTGAAACTACTGTCCTATGGGATGAAGTCCCAATTCTTCCTCCTTATGTACAGTGATCTGTGATTTGGCTCCCCCTAATACAGCTAAGTTTATCTTCATACTAGTTTATGGTCATCCATCCATATGAATCTACTGCTGTTTCTAACTATGCCATGCCATATACTTTTTGATGTATTAATATAGATTCTGCCCGAATTTCCTTTCCCACTGTGTTCTCCTGTCTAGCTCATATTCATTATATAAACCTATGTATCACTCCCTCTGTGAAGCCTTTTTGTATTTCCCTGGGAACTGGTACCTTATGCATATTTATAGTGTAACACTTCATTACATTCTCTGTAGTTCTCTGTCTATATAGCTTGCTTTGCCTCCTGGGCTGTGAACTACTTGAGTGGGAACAAGGGTCTGTGGAATAAGCATGGTTTTAATCCTAACAGAACACTGACTCCACAGTTCACCTGATATAAGACTTTGAGTAAATTATCTCATTGTATTAAGCACCATTTCCTCAACTGTAAAGCACATGTAATAAGAACATCAAATACTTATTTTATGGATCAGATGGGGTAAGAATGATAAAATACTGAGCATATAGCAGCAGGTGCTTAACAAATATTGATTCTCCTAGCCCATGGTAGGTACACAATAACATTCTTTTTAGAAAACAACAATAAATAATTTCTGAGAATAAAAGTAAATTTGTGTTCATTGTAGAAAACTTGGAAAATATAAGGAAAAAAAATCATCTCTAATCCAACCATCCAAAGATAACCACTCCAAAATGAATATTTTCTCCCAACCTATTTTCATACTGATATTTTTCATTATGATTTTGTTCTATGTAGGTGCATATATATTTTAATAAGAAGCATTTTTGTAGACCACTGAATGTCTTTCAAATGTTTAATAGCTCAAAATATTTCTTTGTACCATACTATAATTTCAAAATGAACAATAAGGACAAGAAGGAGAAACAAAGATGTGGAGAGAAAAGGGAACCCAAGGAGAGAGAAAAAGATATTTTTTGAGGGTAGGGGTGAACTCAGGGGCACTTGACCATGGAACCATATCCCCAGCTCTATTTTGTATTTTATCTAGAGACAGGGTCTCACTGAATTGCTTAGCACTTTGCTTTTACAGAGGCTGGCTTTGAACTCACGATCCTCTTGCCTTAGTCTCCCGAGTTGCTGGGATTATAGGCATGTGCCATTGCACCTGGCAAGGATATTTTCTTACGTGTAATGGGGAAGTCGAGTAAAGAAGTAACTTTGTGCGAGTCACCAAAAAATGAAGTTGCATTTCAACTTTATTCCAAAATGATTGGAAATAGCATTATATCTTTTTTTAAATTTTTTTAATTTTAATTTTAATTTTTTTTTTTTTTTAATATTTATTTTTCAGTTTTCGGTGGACACAACATCTTTATTTGTATGTGGTGTTGAGGATCGAACCCGGGCCGCGCACATGCCAGGCGAGCGCACTACCACTTGAGCCACATCCCCAGCCCATAATTTTAATTTTTTTAGCATTATATCTTAAAATCAACATAGAGCGAGATTATGAAAATTTAACATTACGGGATGTTTAAGATTCTATAGATGCCAAGGTATTCTCTTCATACTAATTAAATTAACATTTTCTGTGTCCAAATGATAAAGTTATAATGCTTAATAAAATTACTCCTTACTATTCAAACATTTTCAATTTCAAATATTGACATATTATTCCAATTATTGCTGTTGTGACAGTTTGAAAGATAAAGCTGAAACTTAGACTAATATAGTTCAAACTTACACTTTGTTGATAGGTTGTTCCAAAAGAATAAGCAGCATTTAGTCTTGTCTCAGTGTCTGGACAAAGCTACAGCAAAAGAATATAACTGATAAATATCTTTCACAAGTGTTTTCCATAGTTCTTAGCTACCACTTGGACATAAGCTTGCTATAAAACTTATTTAATGTACAAGGGAATGAAAAATTAAGGGAGTATATTCATCATAAGGGAATGAAAAATTAAGGGAGTATATTCATCATAAATTATAGTCATTATTTTAAAAACAGTTTTAAGAAATTCTAGCTTAAAGCATCAGAAAACAAATTAGCTTGGTATATAGCTGCCACTCTTCAAGCAATAATTTAGTCTTTTCTTTAGGCAAAAATGAAAAACATTTGTAATTCTTTAGCTAGAATCATGCTCACCTGTAAAACACCTCCTTCTAAAGTTTGCCACTTGAGAAAATATCCTCTTATATCATAGGAAGCAGCAACAAACTTCAGTTTTGTATTCTGCTTAAAGAAAAACAATAAAATAATGTTTAATACTCTGAAGCCAATATAATATCCTATAAAGCAATTTTCACCATTAACTAATCTTTTTTCACTGTTGATAGTTAAAACTTAAATTCAAATTTCATTTTGAATCTAGGTTAATCTAAGTATATCTATAATTAAATACATGCAAAAAACTGAATTTATTTTTTGCATAAAAATTATTGTAGAATTGAGAGCGAGGTTAGTGATAATCTCCTTTCAAACCTGTTAAATGGGGGATGAACATAGGGGAAAGGTATCCTTCTTTCCTTCTGGGAAAATAAATAGAAGTGAGAATTAGGACCTGTGAAGTGCTGGGAAATATCACAGACCCCAATCAATCTTGGGAAACACTTCTCAAAACTGTGGAGACACATGAGAACAGAGAATGTTTTGCACAAACTACTCTTCACAATTTCACAAGTATGTGTAATGCTATAACCACATATCCTAGAAGTATCCATATACTCAAGTAAGACAGCTAAGCTCTACACTGTTTAGTTTCTATAAGTAACTGATATTTATATTTTAGTAACTAAACTTTAAAAAATAATCTTAAAAAATTAAGAATTGTGAGCAGTTAACTTTCTTATTACCACTTAAAGTTGCAGATAAAAATGCAGTTATCATCTAATGATGTAGTAATTTGTACCTGGTTTTGTCCTGTAAAACTAAAATTTGCTGGAAGAGGAGCAGTACTGAGTATTTGAGGTGCCAATCCAGCCTGTTCTCCATAAAATAGCCATGGAAGATTCTGTCTCCTATAATTAATTATAATTGTTTTAATAAAAACAAGAAACATTTCTGATTATTAATATTTATGAAAATAACTGCACTGAATTCGGTCAAAACTAAATTTCATCAATTAAAATGTCCATACCAAAATGAAATAGAATGAACAGTGCTCAGTCCAGCAGTCTTTTCAAAGACTAACTGAAATAGTCCACATGCATCAACTGTGACAGTGTCAAGAGAATTCATGTTCATCACGCACATATTTCCAAGAGCTTGGCAAGACGTTAGGTTGGCATACATCTACAAAACAACAATGTCAAAGAAATTTAACATGACACTAATAGCCCAAACAAAAATTGATATAAAAATTTTGCTTCATTTTATCTATTCTATTAATTCTTTTGCTTATAAATGCCTTTCCTCTAGCTTAAGTAGAAACTTTCCATGTGGGAAGAAGAATAAGAAGTTATATTTTAATTATAATTTTTGGCCAAAATATAAAGACAATCAACTGAAGAGAAAGTAAAAACATATAGCATGATATTTTAAAAAAACACTATTACGTAAAATACATTTGAAAGAATAATAATGTGCTTGTAAATTAGATCTGATCATATAAATCTAGTCCATTTTGTTTAAGTAATCTGTTTATGAAAAATAAAATAAAATCATTTTTTAGTTTACTTCTCAAACTTTTTTTTCCTCAATTTTTCTTATTAGGAAAAGGGTGCTCCATTTTCAGTTATTCAAGTCAAAAACTTTGAAGTGCAGTCATTTCTCTTCCTTCCCATATCCAACTCCTCAGTAAATCCTATTGGTTCTGTCTTCAAAGAAGAGCCAGAAGGTAAACACCTCTCTCCATTTCCATATCTCCCTTGTCCACTGTTTCCCTTTTTCTCACTCAGATTACTATAATATTGTCCTAAATTCTCCCTTGTCCTAAGACTTCTGTCCTTGCCACAAGAAAATCTAATCTCTATGCTACAGCAATACTTTCAAATCCTGAAGTTAGGTCATGTTTTCCTTTGCAAACAATCCTTCTATCTCCCTGGGTCCTTGTTAGAGCCACTTCCTACACCTCTTGAGTCTCCATATTCCCTGCTCACTCTGTCCCAGCCACGTTAGTCCTCTTCTAGTTTCTTAAACATGAACAAGTCAGTGAACTTGTGCTTTTTGATCTCTGCTTTTGTTGTGGTCTCTGCTAGATATTTGCAGGGATCACTCTCACTTCTTTCAGGTCTTTACTAAATATCACCCTCAGAAATGTTGTGCTAACCACCCTATGTAACAAAGCACCTTCCCTCCCATGTTCTTTACCCTGGTTTATTGCCTTTGTAGCACTTAGTATGCCTGACATAGTTACTGAGTCTATAAACTCAGTGAAGGGATTTTTTTTCTTTTTCTGAAATAACTAAGCAGATTGAAGAAGGCCTGACACACACTAGGTCATCAATTAACATCTACTAAATGATGGTCAGTTTCATGAACACTCAATTGTTGCCAAATCAGCTTGGAGATATTCAATTTGTATATACAGAATAATGTTTTCTTTAGGTGTTCTCTTTCAATTCATTGGAAAGGGTTTATTCTTCTTATACAATATGACCAAGGAGATAGGTACTTTGAGAAAAAACATTTATTAGGATAAGAAATGGTACCACGATTCTTCAAAGTGAAATAAAACTTAAAAAAAAAATTCGAACTTACCCAACATGCAATTGCTGTTGACTGCAAATACTTTGCAAACCATTCTGAAGCTGAAGACATACCCTGTAAGCAAAAAGATGAAGTTTAGTTTTAAGTTCAAATGAAGACTGCTTAATCCCATACTATTAGGAAGACATTAGTATGTATACTGTTAAGTGAGAAATTACTACTATTACTTTCTTAATGTTAGTGGAAAGACAGATTCTAATAGCAATTCAAAATTTAATTCTAACCAATGTCAGTTATCACAAATAAGATTGCATGCAATATAATGTAACTTGGGCAAAGAACATAAAACGAAATCCGTCAATAGTCCAGAAAATACATGTGCCTGTTTTGTTGATACAAAAAATAAAATGGCATAAAAGAAAAGAAAAATAATAAATCCTGAGAATTTAGTGGTTAACTTCTGTTGATTTAGGATAAATACTGTATTAAATTGACAAGTATTACAAAATTAGGGGCATGATTTCTCAGCAAGAGATTTGGGATATACAGAATAACTAACATTTAAAATCTCTAAGGTGATCACGCTTCCCAAACTCAGAGGGTATCAGAATTAATTTGAGAACATCCTAAAAATAGAAAATGACTAGTTGCATTCCAAACAAAATCAATGAGAAGCTCCAGGATGAGACCAGGGTTTTGAAAGCTCTGGATATAAACTACTAAGAACCACTGTTTTAAAGTTTATCTGAATATTCTGCTAAAAAACGAAACACAGAGAAGCACCATTCAGAGTAAACAGGTCATGAACAGAGAAGACACAGAAAATTATATAGAACGTGGCACCAGTTGATATGATTATATAACTTTGAGTGCACGAATTAGAGTATTATTTCACTATTAAAAATTATAACCATGCAAGGTAAGACTGAAACAATACAGAGAAATCAAGGAGGTGCCTACAGAATAATAGAGTCATGTCAAGAACACAGGAGCTATCTTGAAGGAAAATCCAAATTTGGGACAACTTGAGCTTTGAAAAGAAGAATAACTAATAGATTATAAAGAAAAGATTACAAACTGAGAGAACAAAGATTGTATGAGTTCATGGTAAAGATTAAGAGAAAAAAGAAAGCACAAAGAGAATAATCTTCCTTGTAGAAGATTATTAGCTAGCTAATATAGAATAGCAAAATTGTGAAATCATTAGAAATGGCCAATTTAATAATGTATATTGCATGCAATATAATGAAACTTGGGCAAAGAACATGAAACAAAATCTGTCAATAATCCAGAAAATACATGTACCTGTTTTGTTGATACAAAAAATAAAGTGGCATAAAAGAAATTAAAAATAATGAGAAAGTTCATCAATAGATACTAAAATGGATATTTACATAGAAAAATCACAAATTAAAATCTCAGACTAGTTTATCAATCACAGTGCTTTTATAATAGAGAGTGGCCAATGCAACTGTGACCAAACAACCAAATTAGTGTTACCAATAACTGGATGACTTGAACTGTTTTTTCTTGTTTCAGTGTAAGAGACTATATACAACCTATAGAATTGTCTTTTCCCCAAAAAAGATTCTTCACTGAGTAAACAATGATGCTTCATGAGAAAACAATCAGAAAAATCCAGGAAAACACATACACAAACAAATGCAAAATGGGACAGGCATCTGCTGTAGATTTAAAAAACTAAAAAGATTAGTTGCAATGTGGGTTTCTTGATTGGATCCTAGGTACTCTCCTTCAAAAAAAGAAGAAAGGAAAAAAGGGTATTATTAGAAGAACTGAGAAAATCTGAACAGATATTAGATAATTCTATTGTATTAATTTTAAATTTTCAGGATATGATTCTAAGAAGATGCCTTTTTTCTTGGTGGATATACATTAAAGTATTTGGAATAAACTGTCATTATGTCTACATCTTATTTTCAAATGGCTTAGGAAAAAAATGTGTATATATGTATGTATATCTACATATAACAGTCTCTTGTTTCTGGGGCAACTGGTTCTAGGACCCCCACAGATATTCAAATGCACAAATGTTCAAATCTCTTATTCAAAATGACATGGTATTTGCAATTAACCTAAGCTATATTCTCCTATATACATTAAATCATCTCTAGATTACTTATAATACCAAACACAATGTAAATGTTATATAAATAGTCGTTATACTGCTGTTTGGGGATCAATGACAAAAAAAAGTTGTCATATTCAGTACACATGCTATTTTTTCCTAATACAATCAATCTGCAATTGTTTGAATTTGTGGATGCAGAACTTATAGATACAGTATTAAATACCATTACAATATGTAAACAATATTTACATACATAAAGTGAAATAAATTAATTGTGGCAAAATATTAATAATTGGTTAAACTAGGTGAAAATGTATGCACAGTCATTCTTTCAATTTTTCTGCAATTTTAAAATATTTCAAAATAAAAATTTTTGAGATAAACACCTACACAAGATGCTAGCTCACTATTACTGTCTTTGTGAAAAGGGAATGAGAAAACATGACCATATGTATGGAAATTCTTTACTGATTGGCAGGAATATTCCCAGATTAGGATTCAAAGCCCTTGTTATAAAATTATACAAAAGTAACTACATTCAGAGTTTGTGCCCCAAGAAAACTTTTGACTTTAATATTCAAAATAGACTTTTCTAATCAGGAGGAGTGTTGTGTTGTAGAATCAATCAATACAAGTATTTAAGTCTAACTAGCAATTCAAGTCTCAACATAAGTTAGTAAACATACATTGTTTTATCAATTAAGTTAATTTCATGTTTAATTCCTTTAAACCAGTCCCTCAGAATTGGACTGATCTACAAATGCACAGACATAACTGAATTCTTATCCCTGCCAAAATGAGGAATGGGCCAAGATACTTATGATATCTTAATTAGATTTTGTTTCCATGATTTATACTTTGTCTACACAGAATCATCTTATCATAAACAGCATTTATGATATGACTTAGATGTGGGGATTCCAAACTTGTCCTTGTGAAAGCTTGTTTTCAGGAATGGTATGTTTAAATGAAATATAGTTACTGGATCAGAATTAACTTTAAAAATAATCCCTCCTTTCCTAAGGGAATGGCCCTTCTTTTCCTCTGAGGAAGGGGGATGTGGAGGTGCTGGTGCAAGAGAAAGTGACATGGTGGGAAGACTCGATGCATTGAACACATGAGTAAATTTAAGAAAAAGTGGGATTCCAAGAGAGAGATGAAACTGTTATGAAGAAAAGGAAGTTTTAGCTAAGACTTCTTGGGATCCAGGATTTTACATGATATTAAAAATGTCAGTGATGAAAAAAATTGAGGATAATGAGCCCCAGATTTCTTATTATTAGAGCAGGTACTTGAAACCTGCCAAAAGGAATGGGTAGAAGGAACCTTAAAGATATCAGTATGAACTCATTTCTTTTATTATGTATGCAGAGATAGATGTAGAAATAGTTATAGATGCATGTATGTGTATAAGTATGTGTACATGTGTTTCTGGCCATGTCTGGGTATGGGGGCATATTAAGGGTGATAATCTTTGTTACTAAATATTACCCTCCCAAATTTATAGAGAAATGACTGATATGGGGCTGGGGAGATAGCTCAGTCAGTAGAGTGCTGGCCTCACATGCACAAAGCCCTGGGTTCAATCCCCAGCACCACCAGTTGCACTCCATTTGTGTGTGATGAATTGAAATGCATTCTGCTGTCATGTACAACTCAGGAGAACAAATAATAAATAAATAATTAAAAAAAAAAAAAAAAAGAAATGACTGATTCCAGGGCTGGGGCAGGAAAAGTACAAGGTAAGTCTGGAAATAATGTGCCAGAAAATAAGGAAATAATGGGGACATGTCACAAAGACACAGGAGACAAATGGAAGAGGCTTCTATTGGCCAAATCTAGTGTAATCTAAGCATCAAAACAAATAATGTATTTAGATTATAATCAATTGAAAAAATAGGGACCAGTAAATCCATACTGACATTATCAATAAATGTATACATGTATATAAATGGTATATAGTAGATTCTATTAGTAAATGTGGAAGAAATGGTGAAAACCAAAAATTAACTTTTGGTAACCATTACAGCAGTGGCTGATAAAGGCAAGTGTCATTAATGGAGATGGAAGCTAATAAGCTTAGTGAGAAAGAGAAAGTATAATCTTAGAAATTCCCCTGACAAAATAAGTGGAAAATGGTAACTTTATAGTAGTCATGGTAACTTTATGGCAGGTGATCAAGGTTAATATCATCAGTGGTGGGACCCTGAATACCTCCTGATATAATGCAATGTATTGAGAAAAGTACATCATTTTTGTGGCTTTCCCAAACAGGAACTGAGTATAGGGAAACACTATGCAGACCCAGGTTGAAGGGTCATCCTACAGATGGTAATCCCTATAAGCTTCAAAACTGTCAAGTTCAAGAAAGTCAGGGAAAGAATGAGACTGAAAAGATAAAAGGAACATGACTTCTAAAGGATTTGGGATCTTAGGCAAAACAGACATTATTGGGTCTTTTGACAAAATTATTTCAACTTGAATTATTTGAAAAAGGAAAAAATAGAATAAAATAAAGGCCTGCAAATTTGATAATCAGACTGAGAAAGAATTCCCCAGAAGATACACATTTTGTTGCAGATGAGCCAGTTTGAGGATAATCTCAGAATTTCCTACATATATTTCTATTTTAGCATTTAATTTGCCATTTTGAAACTATTTGATACTTGCCTGTCACCCCCACAATATTATTCTGGACGAAAGGAATTTTTCCTTTTTGAAGATACCAGAATCCACCCTTGCCATTATCTTCATGTCCCTCCCAATCACTTCTACTTACTTAACATGCAGATCATAACCTATCTTCCATAAGCTCTGCTGGCATACTGGATATCTTCAGTGTTTACCAGCTCCTATCCTAACTAACTCCCAGTCAGTAACATAACCTCTATTCTTGTTCTAACTCACCCTCTTCTCTCATTTTACACCCCAGACCTTATTATCACCAGCATGTGATACAAAATCTCTAACCCCAGTTCTCAGTGATCTCGTCTATAAAACAAAGAATCTGGCTGGACATAAAACAATCCTTGGTTTTCCAATGCCTATTATGTACAGGCACTGCAATGTAGGTATTACTATTATTATGTCCTACTTACAAAAAACTGAAGTGTAGAAATATTAAGTAAATTTCCCAAAGAATCAAGAATAAAAAATTAATGACCAGGGTTCAAATCTAGAGTCCATGATGCTCTTCATTGCATTATACTGAGTCCTTTATAGAACCTATATCAGATATTTTCAGTTTAAACATTTTGTGATTTCCTTGAAAAAGCAATGAGCTAAACTATGATGCTCAGTTGTTAGACTGAGGGTTCTTAGATTGATAATTTGTTTCAAAGTGATTTAAAAACTTAAATGTTTCTAATTTTTGTCTGAAATTAACTACCAAAGGAGAAATGAAGAAAGATCCTTCACAATCAAGAAAAAAAGTGAAACATACTCACAAGCTCTCCAAGACGTGCAGTTGAAAGTAAATGTGAAGGAAAACTCCCTTTGTTACTGATACATAATCCTCCTGTCTTCATAAATAAATAAGGGGGGAAAAGACCTAGTTTATGGAAAGTTATAAGCAATTGAATTAAAAACACATACTTTATTAATTTAATTATTCTTACTAAAATGTTAGGTTCTGAACATGCACAGGACCTGCTGGCATTAATGAATGTTGGTTCACATCGGATACACCTGTTCAACATACAAAAAAAAAAAAAAAAAACACTTTAAAAAATGTTCATGAATTACACTAAACCTCATTTAATTGGAAACTTTTTTAAAAGAGAAAAACAAATAAGTTTATTAACATATATATTTCATATATACATGGGAGACACCCAGAGAATTAAAATGCTGGATTAGAACAGATTCATTCAACTAAGCAATTACTTAAATAAACAAATTAAAAATATTAACAATGATTTAAATAGTCTTATACCCCTCTTTGTGTTTTAAGGCAAGTATAAACAAATAAAATTAACCAATAATAGAAGACTATTTTCTTACCTATACATAGGAATGCATAGAATGAATATACTGAATAGCAAAGATGGCAAAGTCACTCAACTAACAAGAGTCCCAAAAAATATATATATTGAAACTAAATCAATATTTACAAGTAGTTATATCAAATATACTTTCAAATATATAATGAAATATACAATATATACAAATATATAATGAAACTAAATCAATATTTACAAGTAGTTATATCAAATATACTTTCCTTAGTTTATCTGCCACAAAGCTAAAAGGTGGCATAAGCCTAAAAGATGAGTATATCTATCCCTTCATCAAACTCATAACCAATACTTTAAGATAAAGTCTATTCACCATCTATTTATTTTAGGAAAATATATTTTCCTATATATATTAATATATATTAAAGAATGAGATAAAGTGGGCTGGGGATGTGGCTCAAGCGGTAGTGTGCTCGCCTGGCATGCGTGCGGCCCAGGTTCGATCCTCAGCACCACATACAAACAAAGATGTTGTGTCCGCCGAAAACTAAAAAATAAATATTAAAAAAAATTCTCTTTCTCTCTAAAAAAAAAAAAAAAAAAAAGAATGAGATGAAGGACTACTGGGGACTCTGATGAGTTTATATGAACTATTACTTATAAGAAAAAACAGGCAGGAAATAGGGCTGGGGCATGACGTAAACTCCAGGTCTGGGGAGATTTTTAAGGGGCCAACTTGAGGATCAGCTCAATAGTCAGTTTCAGATGTTGCAACTCAGGTCAGTCTGAGAGAAAAGATGATCCAATGTTAAGTATCATTAGGAGAAACCATTTAACTATTTTCTATATAAACACTGGGAAATGAAAAGAAAAACTGTGCTTAGAGGGAAGTGATTATGAATGCCTCTTTAAAAAAAAAAAAAAAAAAAAGAAGAAGAAAAGAAAAACCCGAAAAAGCTGAAATTGCAATAATGTGTTTAAGATAGAGGGAAGTGTGTGTGGTACACATATGCATAAAGGGGGAAGAAGAAATAGAGAATAGGGCTGTAAATCAGGGTACCTGAGTTATTATAATTGTAATATCTATTAATGTTTTCCTAAATAACATTATAACAAAGGCTTTCATACCATACTTGGTACTTAATTATAGATTATGTCCAAATTATATAATAACAAACAAAATAGCCACCTTTTGCTTAGCAGTTACTATATAGTACTACGCTAAGAACTTTACATATTCATTTTTGAGCCATTATAGCCTATTAAGTGAGTGATATAGTCCCATTCTAAAGACAAAGGACTTTCTAAGTTATCTAAAGTAAAAAATCTAATAGATTGAGCAAAGATTTTAACCCTATTTTGTCTTGTGCTCTAGTCCTCAGTTCCTTTAATTGTTCATGTCTACTTCTATCCTTCTTGAGTTATTGTGAAAATTAAATGAAATGAGAGCACTTTCTAAAAACTGGAAATTACACATAAATATGATATTAATAAAGCTAACCCCTATTATACTACTTACCTGTTTTCTAAAGCATTTGCTTTTGTAAAAGAGTTTTCAGTATCATCACAAAGCTCACAATTTGCTTGAGGCAACAATGTTCCATTAACATTTCTTTCCACTAAACAATTTAGAAGAAAAATTAAGATATAACTAACTCATAATGAACAGATAAGCTTCTTTAATACTTAGAAAATAGTTAATAAAACCCACTTAAAATTGTAGTTTCTATAACTTGGAGAGCTTTTGATAATAGTACTTCACTATTATCAAAATATTTTAGTTACATAAGATTTTCAAATATTTCAGTTGTCCAGTGATTAACTTGCTTACAAATATGGCTGACACTCAATACCTTCTGTTTGTTTTTTTGGTATGAGGGATTGAACCCAGAAACACTTTACCACTGAGCTATATTCCAGGTCCTTTTCATTTTTTATTTTTGAGACAGGGTCTCACGTAGTTACTTAGGGCCTTAACTTAGTTGCTGAGGCTGGCCTCAAACTTGGGATTCTCCTGCCTCAATCTCTCAAGTCACTGAGATTTACAGGCATGTGCCCCACACCTAGCTTGTACCTTCTCGTTATATAACTTGGAATTTGTCTCAGTATCATTTATTAATCAGTCTTATCCTCAATGATACAAAATATCACTTTTTTACATACCAAATTTCCATATGAATTAGATCTATTTTCCCTCACCCCACCCACCCCAATACTAGAGACGGAACCCAGAGGCACTTTACTACTGAGCTACATTCCCAACTCTTTGACAGAATCTTGCTATGTTGCCAAGTCTGGCCCCAGACTTGCAGTTCTCCTGCTTCAGCCTCCTGAGCTGCTAGGATTATAAGCATGCTCCACTTCAACCTGTCCTGATTGGATCTATTTTAGTTCCATTTTAAGTTTGATCAATCAGTCCTTGTCCTCACATGCCAGCCATACATACAACAGCCATAAAATATGCATAACATCAGATGGGATAGCTTCTTTTTTCCTTCAGAATTTTCTTGGCTTTTTATATATTTGTCCTGATAAACTTTAGAATCAGTTTATATATTCTCTAAACAAATAAATCTGGGTAGAATTTATTAGTATTTCCTTAAATATATAGATTGATGGGAAAGCTAACATCTTTCTAATGTTTAATCTTTCCATTCAAAAATGATAAAAGTATTTTTCATTTATTAAAGCCTGCTTTTGTATCCTTCAGTAGCATTCAGAAAATTATACTAAGGAAGTATTCATCTAATCCTACATTAGTAAGAATCTTTTTAAAAATCAGGCAGGGCCTTATATTTTCTTCTCAATGCCTGCTGATGTCTAAGGCACCATTAAATTTTGCATGAAAAACTAAAGAAATGCAAATCAAAACTACTCTGAGATTCCATCTCACTCCAGTCAGAATGGCAATCATTAAGAATACAAGCAACAATAAATGTTGATTAGGAATGTAGAGGAAAAGGTACACTCATATTGCCAGTGGGACTATATGCAACCACTGTGCAAAGCAGTATGGAGATTCTTAAGAAAACTTGGAATGGAACCACCATTTGACCAGCTATCCCACTCCTCAGTTTATATCCAAAAGACTTAAAATCAGCATACTACAGTGACACAGCCACATCAATGTTTATAGCAGCTCAATTCACGATAGCTAAACTATAAAAAACAACCTAGATGCCCTTCAACAGATGAATGGATAAAGAAACTGTGGTATATATACACAATGGAATATTTTGATATTCTTTATAATATTTTTGTAATATTCTCTAAAAAAGAAATAGAAATTATGGCATTTGCCAGTAAATGATAGAACTGGAGAATATTATCCTAAGCAAAATAAGCCAATCCAAAAGAATGAAAGGCTGAATATTTTCTCTGATATGCAGATGCTAATTCACAATAAGGGGAGGGGTGGAGAATAGAGGTATTTTGGACTAGACAGAGGGGAGTAAAGGAAAAGCAGGGCATAGGGGTAAGAATGATGGTAGAATGAATCAGACATTACTATTCTATATGCATATATGATTAAATGACCTGTGTAACTCTACATCATTTGCAACCAGACGAATAATAACTTATTCTCCATTTATGTATGATGGGTCAAAATGCATTCTATTGTCATGTATAACTAATTAGAACAAATAAAATATATTAAAAATTTTTTTGCACAAAAATAAATTTTAAAAATACTATTAAGTAATCATTAAGTTATCTGACATCATTTACAAAATAAACACAAATAAAAATTTATCACTAGTGTTTTATAAAGAAGTTAATTCTTACCTAAAATATGGCCAGTGGGACAGTGGCATTTTCCTTCTGCAGTTAAGCCACTAGGGCAAGAAATGCAGTCCCAACCATCTTCAGTAACACCCTTCTAAATTAAACAAATAAACAAACACCAAAAAACTCCTTTTAAATTAACTTTCTTCTTAATTAGTCACATAAGTTCAGTCACAACAATATGTAATTTGCAATGGACAAAGATCCAATTAAAAATTCCTTGGAAAAGCTGAGCATGGTAGCACATGCCTATAATTCTAGGGGCTTGGAAGGCCAAGGCAGGAAGATCGATAATTCAAAGCCAGCCTCAGCAACTTAGCAAGGATCTAAGCAACTTAGCAAGACCCTGTCTCAAAATAAAATATAAAAAGGGGTAGAGATGCCATAAACATATAAGTTATGATTCACAATGGGTGAATTTTAATGGCATATAAGATACATAAATTGCTAAAATTGGTTTATGACAATACTTCCTTTTACCCATCAATGATTATATAAAAACTGGGCTTATTGTATGGTTTAGGAAAAACATATAATACATATTAACATAATTAATTTATATTAATATAAGATAGGTTATATAATAAACATCAGTAATTATAAATACTGATGTACCCTAAATTAATAGAGAACAATGCTAAAAGTAACTTAATGCCACAAATTACTTTAAAGTTTGGATGAAAAAGTGGATTTATCAATAAGTGTTCCTATAGTTGACAATGCATTTATATAGGAGTATTTAAAAATTACAATAGCTTAACTAATGTCACTGAAAAATAAATCTGCTCTGGTATAATTTTTTGTTATCAGCAGTAACTCAGGACTAATAAAATAAATATCAAAATGGTAAATTTAATGGTAATAAATAGTTTAATTAGAATAACTGGTAACTTAATATCACATTATCAGATTTAATTTTTTAAATATGACCATGTGAAAAAACAGTACTATAAAAATCAGAACTGTCACAGAGACTCATAATATCTAAAATAATGGGAAAATCTATTTCTGCTTATTGAGAATTATCCTATATACCAAGCTAACAAAAATTCAAGACATTATTTAGCTATTTATTTATTTATTATTATTATTATTTTTGTGTGTGTGTGGTGCTGGGGATTGAATCCAGGGCCTTGTTAACTATTTTTTATATATATAATTGGTATTATACAATTTTTTTTACATCTTAGTTATCATTACAAACATCCATCATCATATAAAACTGTTGACCCAGTAGGTCTAAGACACTGAACTCAATCTGTACCAAAGGATATATATATCCCCAAATGCTTGATATATGTATTATTCATCTATTTTTATTACTGAGTTACTCTAAGAGGAAAAATAAAAATACAAATTTAAAAAGCGAAGAAGTGCATTTCTGTCTTTTCTAAATTTGCATAAAATTTCATTGATCTCCCCAAATTTACTCTAGTAAAAATAAAGACAGCTTAATAATTTTAAAGTTTGTGGGGGAATATTAAACATTATATTGAAGTTTTAAAAATAAAGACATTTATTACTTTTTACAGGAAAGTTATTTTAAGTTCTCCATACCAGATTGTCTGGGCACTTTTTACAAATAATGTCAGGTCCTCCATTACTAGAGATCATCTGAAATCCTGGTAGACACACACATGAAGTTCCTAAAACAAAAAGAGCCAATTTTGTCCTTAGAAAATACAACTCCAGGAATAGGAAAACTCAATAATTCTTAAGATCTTGAGTAATCAGTACTGTACAGTGGTTAACAGCAAGAGTCTTGAGCTAGTACTGTTTGAGATCAAATTTAGAAACATGCTCCCAGATTCCAATCTCAGTTCTCCCACTTAGCTATATGGCATTCAGCAAGTTACTGAACCTCTCTCTGTGCCTTGCCTTCTTCAATAAAATGGAGAAAATAACAGTACCAATCTCTTAGGGTTAGTATGAGTATTCAATTAGTTATATGTAAGAGTTGTAAAAGAGTCTGACACACAGCTGGCATTGTGTTCCTAATATTTTAATTGCAAGCATAACTATTAAACTGTTGAACTATTAAAACTACTTACCTGCTATAAGAAATGTTACATTTCTATGTCACTAAATCACATACATACATTCATTGAATTTAAATTTAATTTGCCAAAACCTTATTGAGAAAATTACCTTCACTCAAATAAATAAATTTCCTCTGGAAAGACAATAAATGTCATTATTACTATTCAACTTGTTGGATACAGAAGTTTAGCATTCTCTAAGGAGTCATTATGTGAAATAATCACCAATAGGAGTCTATGTGGTACAACACATACATTATCTGTATTTATAATTATGAAACTAATACCCTACATTTTAAAGCCCGAATGCTTTCTCACTCTTATTTCCCTGCATGAGTAGCCTGATCTATCCTGTTCGATAACTTAAATAAGGATACATCAAATCTGAAGATGGCAGAAAATTAACACCGCTGGTAATGAAACTGAAATTGAAAACACTTTAATCCTATTTTTAATAGAGGACAACATATTTCAAGAAGCTGGAGTGGGAACTAGGTCCAAATGATGCATTTGGGGGGAAAATGAAGACAAAACGATGTTTTGGAAATTTATAGTTCGATACTGGAGGTATAGTCATGCGTTCTCCCAATTCTCAAATTTAGGTCACACAAAAGATGTCACAATCTCATCTGGGCTTCAATCTCCTTATGTGTAAAATAAAAAGACGGATCTCTAAATTTCTGCGGTTTGAGAAGCGAGATAAAAGGGGTATCTATCCAAGTTGACACTTCCTAATCTTTCCGGTCACCGGCACCTCTTCACCTCAACTACTTTTCTATGGTTTCTTTTCTACCTTCAGCACACGCTTTCTAGGTGCTGCTGTAAAAGCCCCTGTCTGATCCAAAGGGGTGGGGAACTGAAGCCGAGAATTACTGGCAAGGGTTCCCTGGACTCAGGGATCCCCAATCTTATTACTGTGCAAACTGCAATCCTCCCATGTAACCTTTTCCTCCTGAATCGGCAGCTCAGTTTTCTGAAACATTCCTCCTACAGACAAAAAGGTCGGGGACCGGGGACAGCACCAAGGCGGGAGTGTTACTTTTGCCTGGGTCCTCCCGAAACCGTCTTACCTTGGGCATCCTGCTTCTGGTTGTCCCCGCACTGGACACAGGTGAGCGCCGAGATATCGAAGTACTGGTTGTGGTCGCACGTTTCCGGCTGCCGGAAAGGCAAGAAGTAGCCCTGGGCCTGAGAGACTCGAAGAAGGACCCACAGGAGGAAAGCAGTCACAGCTCCCGAGGAGAAGACACACCAGCCCGCCATCACCACCCAAGCGCCTCCGCGAGTCTCCATGGCACCGACGCCAGCGACGGCGCAGTCTCCAACACCCCATGAGCCTCTGCGGCGATTCCGCTGAGCTGATTGGACATCCCAGGTTCTGGAACTCTCATTCTGCGCGGTTTGGTTGCTAGGTTACCAAAACCGCAGGTAGGTGGCTGGTCCAAGAAAAGACCGATTAGAGGAGGACTGTCTACAGAGTCCGGAGGCTATTTAAAACGCGCATTTCAAACACCGCCACGCGATACTTTAGAGAGACGTGAAAGTCAATGTTCGGGTTGGGGAAACAGAATACCTAAGCAAAGAATACATCCTGTTGTATAACATAAAGTAAGTATTGTTTCATGAAACTCTTAAATGATATTTACGTCAGAGTTTATCCAGTCTATGTAATTTTCACGATAAAGGAGACATGGTGTGTATTATAGTAATTTTCAAAAATTCTCACTGAGGACTAGGGGTGTAGGTCACTGGTGGAGTGCCTAGCATGTGTGAGATCCTGTTAGTTCAATCCTTAGCTCTGAGAAACAAAGAACCCCCAACCTCCACTGATTTAAAATATGCAATTTTGGAGGTTTACTATGGCTCAAAATTGGGGGAAAACAACTTTCTTTCTAAATATTTCCTAGTTGGCCAGGTGCAGTGGCCCACGCCTCTAATCCCATCTGCTAAGGAGGCTGAGGCAGGAGGATTGCAAGTCAAAGCCAGACTCAGCAACTTGGCGAGATCCTGTCTTAAAATTTTAAAATAAATGAATGAATGAATGAATGAATGCATGCCTTGGGATGTGGCTCAGTGACTAAGCACAACCTTGGGTTCAATCCCTGATCCAATAAATAAGTGAATAAATAAACATACTTGGAGACTGTTAGCTCCCGAATATTTCGTAATTGCCTTCATAGCCAGTTTACAGGCCTTTAGGAAAAACTTACTTCTTACCATTTAAATCTAACTTCTGTTTTATTTTATTTTGTAAGATTGTTGTATTTTGTCTCTCTCTTTCTTTCTCCCCAGTAGAGTCACCTGATATATTTTTAAGGCACCTTATTTATTAGGTAACTTTTTGCTTTTTCGAAAAAGTGCAGTTTTTGTAAGAATGAGTTGTCTCTATTAAGGAGTGTATATATAGTCTTAGTGCATGTGGAAAATGCATCTAAGGAAGTTCCATAACTGTAACCATTAGTTACCCATTAGTCCTTGCTCAAAAGACCAGCGTTTATCCAATTACTATTATCTCTGACACAAGAAATTTATGTTCTGAAAGAAGTTCCTTAAAGAGAAATTCTATGTGCCATGTAGCTGGTGCTGTTAGGAAAGTGTCCCTACAGGAGACCTCCCAAAAATCTCTTTAAGGCCCTTCCAGAGCGAGGATAAGTGGAAGCCTGAAGTCGCCTGCAGGGACTTTAATTAAGGGGAGGACTTAAGTAGAGGGTCTCATTAAGTTGCTGAGGCTGGCCTTCAAGATGTGATCCTCCTGCCTCAAGTTCTGGACTTGCTGGGGCTACAGGACTGCTCTACAAGGTTTGGCCCTCTTTTCAGATTTCATCTTCACCATCAGTCTCTTTGGACCGCCAGGCTTCTGTACAATTTCTCTCCTGGGTATGGATCCTCCAGGCCTATGCTGGCACATCTCCATTAAGACCAGCCACATTCCATGTACTCAGTAGCCCCACTGTGGCTCAGGCTGCCATAGTGGACAACACAGACAGATACTGTATGGGAACTTATTCTCCCGGCCTCTTCTCCACCCTCCAAATTCTGTTCTTCATTGGGAAAGGAACATCTTTTGTTCCTCAAATGTCTCTACCTGCTTTCCTCAGTATCCTCTTTAAAATAGTGCAATATAAACAACCTCATTGGGTTATTTTAAGGATTAAATATTTAAATAAGATAGTGCATGCAAATTACAGTACCTGGTGGGTAGTAAGTCTCAATAAGTTAGCAATTAGCATTTTATTTTGGCCAAATTTGCTTTTAAAAATGAGCTTACACATCGAAGGAACACTATTTGATTTTCATTGTATTTCTTTTAAGACACTACATTACATGTGGAAGTACGGAGTTGGTGGTTGGTTATATAACTGTTAAGTTCCCTTTTATGACTGTAGGTTGCTTAGGAGCTGGGTCTAAATCTTATTCATTTTTGTACCTGAGCAGTTCCTAACACTGGTTCTCCTTTCACTGTGCTTGTTACATTTCACAGGATCTCATTGTGTTGGCCTTGGTGAGCCTAATATGAGAATTTCAAGTAGACATGACCATATGGGGAGTAGAAGTTGAAAGGAGGACAAATACTCTAAGTGATAAAGTTGGTAAAGGAATATTTTGATGACCAATGTTGTCTTATAAAATCATTCCTTTTGTGCTGGGGACGTAGCTCAGAGTAGAGTGCTCGCCTCACATGTACAAAGCCTGGATTCAATCCCTAGCATCATCAAAAAAAAAAAAAAAAAAAAAAAAAAAAGAAAAGAAAAGAAAAAAGAGAAAAAACTTCTTTTTTTTTAATCTCAGCTTTTCCTTTAAAATGATAGTCTCCAGTTTCATCCATTTACTACCAAATGCCATAATTTCATTTTCCTGTCCATTTTTACTTTTAAATTTTGAGACAGGACTTTGCTAAATTGCTGAGACTAGCCTCAAACTTGAAATCTACCTGCCTTAGGTTCCCTAGTCTCGGGATTGCAGGCAGGTGCCTCTGCACCAGATATTGCAACTTTTACAGAAGTGTTAATAAAAAAAACAAAATCCTCAGAATATTTGCTCTGAAAATAGATTTATGCAAAAGAGACACACTAAAATTTTAAGTACCACACATGTCAGCTTAACTAAAACAATGACCTAATGTAATTATTTAAGGTGGAATGTTAAAAATATTTTTAAAAGATATCTTGATAAGGAACTTTCCATAAGTCCCTAAATTCTAGTATATTCATTTTGCAATACTTTTCCTGTGAAAATACACTCTTAGTAATGTGGGTTGGGTACTATTCTCTCTTTTAAAATTTCTTTAATGTAGTAGTTTATTGTTTAGGTATTCAAATTTTATGGTTGTGTGTTCCGTCAATAAAAGTTTTTATTTTATTTTTTAAAAAATAAAGAGAAATTCTAAATGTTTTTGAGTAATTACTGTTACTTCAGTAGACATTTAAACTGGAAATCACTTATCTGAATACATATTTTAGAAATTTGTGAACATATAGATACTAATGAAGACTAAGAAAAGGTATGATCGAAGAGTTGGAATTAACCTGCATATGCTTCCTCTGGATGAGTTATAATTCTAGTCTTCCTTGATAAAGTACATATGGTTATATGTTCTATGGAGCGGATTAGGGCAATAATATGTAGTTCTTGCCTGCTGTATAATTAAAGTAATAAAAAGAGTTTCCATTCATGATGGGTTTCTTTGTGCCCCACACTCTGCACTGTGCGAGGCACCTAACAACATTAGTCTTAACTCTTTCTTAATTTTTTTTAAGTTGTAAGTGGATACACAATATCTTTATTTCATTTTTATGTGGTGCTGAGAATTGAACCCAGTGCATCACGTGTGCTAGGCGAGTGCTCTATCACTGAGCCACAACCCCAGCCCTAATCTTAACTCTTCATAAGAACCCTGTTTTTCATTACTGGGGATCAAATCTAGGGACACTTTACCACTGAGTTACATCAGTCCTTAATTAATTTTTTTATTTTGAGACAGGGTCTCACTAAGTTGCCAACTCATAACAATCTCTTGAGAAAGTACTATTTCTATTTCGGAAAAATAGAAATGGAGTATCAAAAAAGTTAAGTGTGGGGAAGTGAAGAAAGTAGAATTTATCTTTACCTGGATAACTTCAAAAATTGTCATCTTTGTGGTGTTTTAAGTAACTCCTGTGTAGCATATATTTAGACACATTTTGGCATATTCTCATGCTTTATCTTTATGTAATGAGATGATATAGCCATTGTAGCCCACATACAGTGGAATTATAATTGTCTAAGACCTTTGGACACTATACCTAACAAAAGATCTAGAGAGTAGTCAAGTAAGAAGTTCTCTGCGTAGAACTTGAAATAGACAAACACAGTTAAAGTTGTGATAACTATAAGTACTGTAGGTTTATCTATGTAAACTACCCACAAGGACAACAGAAAAGATTGTTAGGTATAACCGTTAAGCATAAATTTGAGAGAGTATATAATTGGAGATTTGTTTTTGCAAATAACTGAAGACTAGGTAGTTAAGCCAGTTCATAATAGCATAATCAAAAACAAACAGAAATCTGGCTGCTGATGTTTGCTCAATAATGTCAGACAGTCATCCCTGCAGTTCTTTTGTCTCTTCTCTCTTAATTGCAGTGTGACTTTTACATACCAGATATCAAAATTCAAATTTAAGAGAAGAAAAGGAGCTGGATCAGAGACATTCTTTCTCTCCTTAATTGAGAAAACAAATATGTTCTCTATACTGTGTATTGTCCTAAACTTCTTCATGCATCATTTCAGTCTTCTTAACAACCGTTTGAGCAGGAAGTAAAACTATCTCCATTTATCAGGATTGTAGACATGCCTCATATTACCCAGTGAAGATATGAAAATGAGTTATTTTTGACAAATGGAAGAGACTAGCTGAATATAGTTTATGACAGCTTAGAAAGAAGTGTACTAAAGAAAGTAAGAGGAGGAGTTCAAAGAGGATAGCTCCTGCTTATAGTATACCTAGTATTAGACAGGCACTGAGCCATGCCTTACCTGCAATATCAAAATTAATCTACCCAATAACTTTATGAAATATATACTGTTTTTATCTCCTTTCTATGGATGATTAAATGGAGGCAAAAATTAGAGATTAAAAACTTACTTAAATACTTAGCTCAGAATTTGCAAGATCAAAGTTGGAATTCTGTCAGTTTAGCTTTAGAGGCTGCTTAAACAGTGCTCTGTGTTCTAACAGTATAACAGTATACAGTATACTGTTCTAACAGTATAAATGTGCTGCACAAAGGTGAAGAATGAGGAAAATAGAGAAAGGATCTTTGGATTTGGCAATACCATGATTATTAATTACTTTTGGGGTTGCAGCTTAATTATAGCAATTGAAGTAGAAGAAAACCATAGAGCAGTAGTGAGAAAGAGCAGAAACCAGATAAAAACCATCTTGAGAGATTTGGCATTGAAATGAAAACACAAGAAGGCAGTGAGCAAAATAGTTACAAAACAATTTTTAAGGACAAGGGCAATATGTAAGTGGAGAGGAAATAATTAGAAAAGGAGAGATTTAAAGTAATTTGGGAAATAAGTGATTTTCTCTGGAGAAAGAAGGGTTCAAGAACTAGGATAGAAGAATGGGAGGAGGGGGAATCATTCTTAGAGTCTGAAAGAAAAGAGGATGAGTGAAACCCCAGGGTAAATAGCAGAGAAGTCAAATAAGATCTGTTTTCTGTGTAATGAACATGGGTAAAATAGGAAATATTTTGAAGACACAGTGGGTAATTGGGAGGCAGCTCACTGGGAGATGAAAAATACCCAATGGATCCTTAACTGAACTAAATTAAACTGAACTAGAAGATGCAAGAGCAGCAGCATATGCAAGCTTGATTCTTCTTGAAGGAGTTCTAGATTGCTGCTATGATCATCTGAAGATATTAAACTCTGCCATTGATTCTCCAGGGAGTTTCCTGAAGCCTTTGGTTTAGGACTAGGAAAGAGAGTCTATGTGAGAACTCAGTGGTTTATCTTTGGTGGGGAGTTCAATAAGTTTTGAGACATTATTGAGCTCTTCTGTGAGATAGACAGTTGTCAGAAAGAAAGGCACTTTCCATCTGGGCCCTCAAAGTATAATAGAGAAGTAGACATGGATAACTGCCCTTATTGAGATTGTAGATGTGAAAGATCAGTGTAAAGAGAAAATATTATGGGCAAGACAGGCAGAAGGACCAGCAGGAAAGACTCAGAGGTGTAAGAGGGCAGGCACACTGGGGAGTGACAGTATTCTTGAGGTGTAAGTTTGTAATGGTTAATTTGAATTATCAACTTGATTGGATTAAGAGATGCAGGTGATTAACAGGCTTCTGGGTGTGTCAGTGAGGGTGTGTCTAGGGATGATTGGCATGTGGGATAGCCAACTGAAATGGGCCACACAGTCTAATAGAATAATGGCTTGGATGGAATAAAAGTTGGAAGAATGAGGAAGCAGCAGCAGATGCAAGCTTAGTTTTCTTGAACAGGTTCCTGATTGCTGCTATTATCGTCTGAAGATATCTGACTCTGCCATTGATTCTCCAGGGAGTTTCCTGAAGGCTGTGAGTCTGACTAGGGTAGCACGCTGATCCCACTTGTTTTGGGGCTTCAGCCTCTTCAACTGCGCAGCTACTGGTTCTCCAGCTCTCTACCCTGCAGACAGCCATCGTAGACTATCCAGCTAATAAATCCCCTTTTATAATTATACTTCCTGTGATTCTGTTCCTCTAGAGAACCCTGACTAATACAATGTTATGTATGGTCAGTGATAGAAGACGAGGTTGGAAATGTAGAAAGGAATAAAAATGAAAGCTTATGAATGCCACATTTGTCCACCATGGTTTCAAGCTTAGGATTTCAAGCTAAGGAATACAAGACCAGATTTATACTTTAGAATGCATCCTAGAGAAAAAGTGTAGAGAAATTTCTAAGTAACTCTGAGACCAAGTGAAGCAAGGCTGTTCGTGTGGCTGTTGAAGAGCCATGAAAGGTAGCTGAAAACTATGATACCAGAATCATTAGAGGAGGGCAGGTGATGCTGCAATGGTGGCAAAATATCTGGGGAGGCTGAAAAGCTGTTTAGGCAGAACCACAGAATTGTCATAGCTCAGTGTGATCACTGTTTCAGGGTCTACCATTGTGCAGTTCCAGAAACTTTCTCTCTCCTCCCCCAAATGATTAAGATTTTGACATTGATACATTAAAGTTATAAAATACCCTGTCAAAAGAATCAGCTGAAGGTAATTTGGATGTATACCCTGCTTATACCCAAATTACCTTCAGCTGATTTTTTTTTTTTTTACAATAGTGAAATAATCTGAGAAAGGCAGGAGGCACACTAGAAAAGACAGGAAGTCACTAGTAACCTCTTTGGAGAAAATGTTTGTGAATAGAAAGGTTGGTCATTCCAGAACAATGCCTTTATAAGCCTATTCAGAGGAGAGTCTGGTCTGAATATACTTTTCCAGGTAAGTCCTATAGTAGGTCTCATTAAATGATAGCTATTTCTTTTGTTTTAATGGGCAAGAATACATATGAATATAGCTTTAATTTTTAATATTAGGTAGCTACTGATGTTCTATTTTTATGCTTAGCAAACAATTCTCTAATAATTTGACTTCATATAGAAAGCATATACAGACAAAGGTGCTGGTCAGTCTGAGTTGATGTCAAGTGTTGTTCTTGTAAATGGATATTGATAATATTGCTCATGTTTGTTTTAAGGGACTCTCCTTCAGGATTCAGAATCCTCTCCTAATACAGAGTAATGGTTCCTGAAAACAAACCACCAAGGTTTAATTCCTGGATTTACCTTGTACTATCTTTGTGACCTTGAGCAAGCTATGTAATCCTCTATGCCTCAGTTTCCTTTATCTGTAAAATAAAAAATAATAGATACTATCTCTGAAAGTAATTTTAAAATTAAAAGAAGACAATTCACACGGCCTGGCATTAATAAATATAATAAATATTATATTATATTAAATATTATAAATATTATAACCCTCAATAAATATTAGCTTTTAAGGTCAGGCTCCTGAGTCTAAAAGGCCAGGACCAAATCCTGAATTAACAAGGTATAAGATATCTAGTCAATGAGCCTATCTTCCCAAGGTGACATCTTGTGCTTCTCTATGGATCACCTTGGCATTTGACAGAAGACACTGGTAATTGTAATAGTTTCAGGTGTCATTGACACTTCTCACAATCTTAAGAGGTAGGTACTATTATCATTACCATTTTAAATGAAGAAACTGAGGCAGAGAGGCTGATTTGCCCAAGTGAGTAAAAGATGGCTCTCACTTAAACCATATATCATTCACTTAAATTGCTTCTTCTTTCCAAGTCATTATTAAGTTTAAGAATGGGTAATCTGCAGCAAGAGAGATTCAAAACTATTTGTTATTCTCTGTCTGTAACAATGTCTTTAAAATGTAATTTCTCCTTTCATGGCGAGTTTTGATCCACCCATATATGCATTTTGTAGTTATACAACAAGGTGGATTGCTTTATTTACAAATGATAAAATAAAAACAAACCCAAGGTTGTTCACTAGCTATTAAGTACCAGCCATCAATAGAACATGTCTATAACTGAATTTTTCATTTCTCAATTTTCAGGACTGGTTCATCTATTCTTATTTCAAAAATCCAGATGATGGGATCAACAAATTTATAAAGGTACTTCACTAGGTTATTAATACCTATAATATTGAGTAAGCATGCATTTTTTTAAACCTCTAGGTGTGAACTATACCTGGCAAACGCTGAAGGCAGTGAAATAAGTTATTCTGTGGCTTTTTAGAGTTTACAAGAGCATTTCAAAAGGCTTTCAAAAGTTAACACAGCAACTACAGCACTGGAAGACAAATAAATCAGGAACTTTTCTCCCTTGCGTCTTTTTTCGTAGCTCCTGGAAAATTCAAACGTTTGATCTCCATTTCCACAGTAACCTACTACAGTTTACTCCTAATTTTGTCTCAATTTTGCTTTCTCCAGGTCTAGGGTCTCTGGTTGGCTAGAAGCTGGGCAAGCGCAGAAGCTCCACAAGCCCAGGGCACCTCCTCCCTGCCCCTAACAACGGGAAGCCGGTGAGCAAGGCGCAGGCGCAGGCGCAGCCGAGGCGCCGGGGTAGGGGGTTACGCCTGGCGAGCGCATGGGCAGACAAACTGTACGTCCGTTTGTCCGGACGGGAGGGGAGAGTGGGCGCCATCTTGTTCGGGCTCACTGAGGGTTCTGCCTGTTCAGTGGAGGCTGCTGCGAAGAGTGCCCCAGCCCCTGGCCTGTGTGTCCGAGTCGGAGCAGTGGTGTGTGTTTACTGCCAAGTGCGAAGCAGTCACCCGTGGGGCGTCGGGGTGGGCAGGGTTGGCGACTGAGCCGGAGGAACAGGGAAAGGCGGGGCCGGCGGCCGCGCCAGGATCTAGCGTAGCCTGTGCCGTTAGGGCACCCTCTTCTAGCTAAACTCCGACTCTCCCTCTCCCGTCAGCCTCCATGTGGCGGTGTGTGTGCGCTTCCCAGTGATCTTGACACTGAAGATCGCGAAGGATCTCATAGGTATTTTTTTCTTTGCTATGTCATCGTAGTCAGTGGTGGCAGGGAAGCTCTGAAGGCCCTGCTCATTAGGCTTGAGAGGGGCAAAAGCGTTTTAGTTAGATTTGAGGGCAGTTCATCCAGTGGTGAGTTAGGGTGGAATGTTCGCCCTTGGGACGGTGTAAAGGAAAGGCACGGAGGTTGGGCGGTCCTGGTTAATTGGAAGGCTGATTTTGGCTGAAGGTCTTGGCGACAGCATCGGATCCCACGTAGCAACTTTGGCCTGGCGTAAAAGAAGGAAGCTCTGACCCCTGGGAGTGTGGACAAAGGCTTTGGGCTATAGAATCGATGCCTTCGGATGATTGCCGTTTGACGATGATGGATATATTATGGGAATTCCTGTGCCATGTGGATTCAACTTCATTTACAGTTCCTCCTGGGGACCATGGCCTTTGGTTTTTATTTTAACTATCTGCATTACAAAAGGCAGGTCATCAGAAAAAATAATTATGGAATGGGTAGATTATTTTTTTCCTGAAGTTCATATTTAGAATTTGAATATGCTTCATCATGACTTTGGGTTTTAAGAAGTAGTCAACAGGCAAAGTAAAAGAATTTTCTTTCCCTCACCATGTCTGGAAGATGACTTTTTATTTGCCAGTTAAAATCAAACGGATCTGACATAATTCAGTCGCCCCTCCTGTTTTCCTTTCAGTCTTGATTAAAAGATGCACATTTTATATTATTTAGCTGAAATGGTGATTAAGTGGGATGTAGCACTGGCTTAAATAAGCAATTATTTAAAATGCGCTTGCCCTCAAATGAGCTTTTAGGGGTTCATTTCCTTTTCATAGAAGTTCTAAAAAAATCACTGTGTCCTTAACACAAAAATACTTTTGCATTCATAATTAGGAAAATTTTAGGAGCAGGATAATTTGTGTGTTTTGCTTTTTGTGTACTGTGTTGATAGAATTTTCTGGAGAATTTGCTTAAGAAAACAGCATATTGGAACTACATGAAAACAACTCATTTTGAAAGCTGGTCTTTTTTAGGTTGTCTTCTAGATTTGTTACTGTAGAGGGATTACCTAGTATCTCATTACCCTAGTATCTCAAGGACAAGGAAGTTTAATTATTAGTTTTATTTAACAGTGGCAAATTAGAATAAACTTTTTAAATAGTTTGCTTGAATTGGAATTCTTGGGATTGGTGCTCATGAAACTACTTAGCTAAGATTGTTTTAGTTAAGATATTTAGGTAAGATAGCAAATTAGGATATATTATTAGAGATTTCTTGAATTTGACTCTGTTCCTTGTAGTGTCTCTAATTTGTTTGCTTGCAAATGAATTTATGTTCTCAGGGTAAATCCCTTGTAAATTAAAAAGAAGAAAGCTGGGCACAGAGAAAATGATGCTTATTTAATGATGCTTTGTAAAATTAAAAAAATAAAAAGTAGCTAAGCCAGTTAATATAAGGAGTCTTGAAATATTAACATGGACAAGTTTTCCAGAAGCCATTTATAGATTTTGTTGAAGTGTTTGCTGTGGATATTAGTTTGTTGAAGAAACTAGGCTTATACTGGAAAAAAAAAGTTGTATTATGCAGATAATTTATAGTAAACCTCACCAATATTTTTCAGACATAGCTTGTGCCAGGTAGTTTGTTGATATCTTTGCTCAGTTTATAGTTTAAAAAGTTTAATCTCTGGATCCTTTTTAAAGGAAAACCATCTTTCAGTTCTCAAGGAATATGTCTTTAGATTCCACTTTGTGGACAGTGGTGCTTAAGTAATGGTATTCAAGTGGTACTTAAGTAATGTGTGAAGCCAACATGTATTTACATATTAAAGACATGTTGGTTACAGTGATTAATTTGGCAGGTCTTAAATATTTTTGGTAAGACTTCATCAAATATTGTTAGCTTAGCTTGGATATGCATTAAATAATTAGATGCAAGTTTTCTACAAAAATGCTAAATTGGATTTTTCACTTGTTAATATTGGTAATCCCAATATTCTAAATATTTATACATTGTTGTCAGGGTTTCCTTAATAGAGTACAGGATAATGATTCAAAGTGGACTCATATTGGTGTGATAAGATTTTATATTAATCAACATTCAGATGAGTTTTAATAGTTATTGTTCTAGGATTATTGCATAAGGAGTTTTTTTTTTTTTTAAATTTTAGGGGTATTTTCTTTGATTATGGGATCATGAAATTTGGTTCTATGTTTGGAACATGAAGAACTTAAAATTGTATCCAGATAGTCACTTTCATTGGTTTTGATTTATTGCTTTAAAAATTGGGTTTTTGAATTTCAGGCTTTGGTGTTGTATTATTTGGTATTCATTGTATCATTTTGAATGGTCCATTAATTTGATTTGGTCTTAACCTTTTGAGGTAGAAGAGAATGGCAAGAGAGTTGGACATAAATATGAACTAGAAGCTTGGATTTTCATTGGGGGAAGTGATAGAAGGTCTTTTGTTGGAATGTGTGTTGTTTTTAAATTGATATTTGGATAACAGGGTTTTGTTGGTTGTTGTTGTTTTAAGTGGATGTAAGCCACAAGAAGGAGTGGGGGTGTAGCTCAGTGGTAGCGTGACCCAGGGTTTGATCCCCAGTATGGGGGAAGAGTGAATGTAAACCTTCTATACATCAAAATGCATAGACCTTAATTCATCAAGCTTTGATAAATATACATACCCATGTAACCATCACTGAACTTAAAATATTTAACATTCCCTCATTCTGCTTCCAATCAAGGAGTAGTATAACTTTCAGCACATTTTTATGTTTAATAATTTGTAGATGTCTGTCTACACTTGGGTTTTGCACTTTTTGCAAAGGGATAATTAATTTTGCCTTAGAATGCCCATAATTGCAGTTCCTTGTTTCACTTTTGATAGGTAATTCTGAAATGGATATCCTAATCGGGCACTGAAATCAATTACAGGGTTCAAAGATTAATTGTATTTCATTTTCTTTCCACAGTTAAGTTGCTTTTACAGAATTAACAGGTCTCCAAGAAATAAAAAGAACAGGTAAGACACCCAGAGTTTAAGGCTTTCACACAGGCTTGACAGAAATCATATAAAATAGAATAGTACATCTTGGTACCAGTGGCTTCTGTTTTATGTCTAATCAGCGAAGCACAGTGTTAGGCAACATAATATCATGAGAAGACATTATATACTGACCATGGATGGCTTTTCTAAATATATTAAACTCATTGTGGTTGGTAAAATACTTTTAATCTCTCTTACATTTAGGAAACACGTTTCAGAATGAGTCTGAAAATAGTTTGGTCTTGTTGTGAAGTAGAATTTGGTAGACTTACAAAGGAAGATTTGATATTTTCGATGTTCCTATTGTATAGGATGGGTGATATGTTTCTTCAGGATAGTTGGTTTATTTGTATGTTTAGATGGATGGGAGAAAATTATTCTTTGTTTTCTTTAAGAATTAGCTAAGATCAATATTTTTGTGAACTTGTATCTTGCTTTCATTTATAAATGCTGAAGGAAATGGGAACCAGGTAATTATTAAGTTTAGTTTAGGCTAAGGTACTTAAAAAATAAGACTTGCTATTATGTGTACCTTTTTGTCTGCAGGTCATTATTGCTGTGGTTTGAGCTCAGCATGGCTGTAGTCATCCGTTTACTGGGGCTTCCTTTTATTGCGGGGCCTGTGGATATTCGTCACTTCTTCACGGGATTGACTATTCCTGATGGAGGAGTGCATATAATTGGAGGGGAAGTTGGGGAGGCTTTTATTATTTTTGCAACAGATGAAGATGCAAGACGTGCCATAAGTCGATCAGGAGGGTTTATCAAGGACTCATCTGTAGAGCTCTTTCTTAGTAGCAAGGCAGAAATGCAGAAGACTATAGAAATGAAAAGAACTGATCGTGTAGGAAGAGGGCGACCAGGATCTGGGGCATCAGGGGTTGGCAGCCTATCAAATTTTATTGAGGCTATGAAGGAAGAAGAAAGTAATTCTGGATATGGCTCTTCAATGAATCAAGATGCTGGGTTTCATACTAATGGTACAGGACTTGATGATTTAAGGCCAAGAAAGACAAGGCCATTGAAGGCCGAGAATCCTTATTTATTTCTGCGAGGTTTGCCTTACTTAGTAAATGAAGATGATGTACGTGTCTTTTTCTCTGGTTTGTGTGTGGATGGAGTAATTTTCTTAAAACATCATGATGGCCGAAATAATGGTGATGCCATAGTAAAATTTGCTTCGTGTATCGATGCTTCAGGAGGTCTTAAGTGCCATAGAAGTTTTATGGGTTCAAGATTTATAGAAGTAATGCAAGGCTCAGAACAACAATGGATTGAGTTTGGTGGTAATGAAATTAAGGAGGATGAAGTCGCTATAAGATCTGAAGAACATTCTCCGAGAGGAACTAATGATAGACATTTTCGAAAACGGTCTCATTCAAAATCTCCCAGAACACGTTCTCGCTCCCCTCTTGGATTTTATGTTCACTTAAAAAATCTGTCACTAAGTATTAACAAAAGAGATTTAAGAAATTTCTTTAGAGACACTGATCTGACCAACGAACAGATTAAATTTTTATATAAAGATGAAAGAAGAACGCGATATGCCTTTGTGATGTTCAAGACTCTGAAAGACTATAATACTGCTCTTGGTTTACATAAGACTGTTTTACAGTATCGTCCAGTTCTTATTGATCCAGTTTCTAGAAAACAAATGCTGAAGTTCATTGAATGTTATGAAAAGAAGAGACCAGAGAAAGAGAGGCCAGGACATGTTTCACAAAAATATTCTCAAGAAAGCTATTCTGGCCAGAAACTGTGTATATATATAAGGAATTTCCCATTTGATGTTACAAAAGTTGAAGTGCAAAAGTTCTTTGCAGACTTTTCTCTTTCAGAGGATGATATTTACTTGCTTTTTGATGACAAAGGAGTTGGTTTGGGAGAAGCACTAGTGAAATTTAAATCAGAAGAACAGGCTATTAAAGCTGAACGTTTAAACCGAAGAAGATTCTTA